CCCCAACAAAAACACCAAAAAATTGAAGCACAGAGAGAAATCACTAGGCAAACTGAACTCTGGAAGCGAGGCTTACTTGTAGAAGGGAGCTGTGACTTTCCTGAAGAATCTTGCGGATGTCTGAGGGCACCAGCCAGGGACTCACCACAGCCTCTTCTCTCTCGTCCTCTGCACACAGCTGCTCGGTCTGAGATGCACGTCCACGCTGTCCTGTGTGCTGTAGACATGGAGCCGTAGAGCCTGTCAAGGCAAAAGAACAGTGTACATTGGGACTGATTCCTTTGTAAGTTTATTCACTGATTGTGACTTCCGTCATCAAATCCAAGGCAGTCACATTTTACCTAATATTTGAACCACAAGTTCTGGATATAGTTCGCTTTAGTGTTCTAACCGTTCCTGTTCTGTCAGTGCGAGAGATGGGAATTGAATTCTGGACACCTCTTTTGATTTTAAATGAAACGGTAACCTCCAGGACAGGAGTACAGGGAGGAGAGGCCACAGAACAGAGCTGCGGAGACGTTCCAACTTCAAAGTCGGTGAATTTGAGCAGCGGGGCCTCTCCCTGCTGCTTAGGGGAGGTCTTGTGGATGCTCCTAGGAGTGATGTTTAGGCATCTTCACTCGGGCTTCATGCCTCCTGTCTGCCTTTGGCACAGGTGTCAGGGTAAGGTCAGTGACGACACAGCATGGCCCTCTTCCTCCTTACCGAACATCAGCACTTGTAGAAAAGCAACTTACTCCAGTCAGTGCCCAGAGGCAGCTTAGCACATCCATTACCCACAGCGCTCTCTGCACAAGCCCTAGCGGAGCTTGCCCACTAACACACTTATTTATGATCCACAGCCTGTGTTACAGCACATCTGCCCCTCACCAAGGTGACCTGAAGAAACACCCAAGACATGGGGTATGATGGGAAGTAAACACCCTGACAAGCAGGCATGTGGCTCCCTGAAGAGGGGAAGAAGAGGTAACGGTGAAGTTTTACCAGCCTCATACACTTAGAAGTAAGGCTCCCTCCAAGAAGTGGGACCCTCAAAGCAATAACGAGCACACATTTTGACATTTACTGAGGGCTACGTGCTTTACCTACATTCAGTCCCTTGAACTTGGCCTGGCTCTGTCTACCGGGGTTATAGACAGCCGACAGGAGAAGGAATGTGAAAGTACTTTCAAATTGTGAAGGGTAACATGGGGGCAAGGGTGGGCTAGAGGGAGACATTAGGAATTAAGATCATTAGGTATAATTTCCCTCTTGTTGATCAGAGCACAGCTAATTTGAGCAAGTATCCAAAGATGGAGCAAAATCAGGTCTGAAATACCAAACTTACGGGCCTGTATGTTCCATGCCTATGTGATCATAGCACCTTCCTGAGCACTTGTGACGCTCACACTGTGGTAAACCCATTACATACGTTCTCACTATTACAATCCATACTTTGCAGGTGAGAAAATGGAAGCTCATACAAATGGATCGGGAACTGCCTCGCGCTAAGGAGTAAGTGATGAACTAGGATTCCTAGCTGACTCCACAGCCTCTTCTCTGAACCACAAAGCTCCACTTTTCATTCTGAAACCTTTTTGTGACATTCCTGAGAGTGATTTCTGGTTTTTAAAGATTTAGTATAAAATTCAAGAACCTCCTATTCTTTCTTTACTCCTACCTTCTTGGAAGGTGACTGGAGAGTACACGGCGTTTCTCGCCCCCACTCTGGCTCCACCACCTTTCTTCTGGGTAAAAGTGGCAGTTCCTGAAAACACCGGCAGCTGTCTTTAACCTTCTATGTGTGTGATAATTCACAGACATACTGTAAGACCTTTGAGGGCAGAAACCATCTGAGAGGTGGACTTGATTTGAACCAAGAAAGCAAAACAAAAGTGCAGATGAAGGAAGGAAAACTCTCGTTTGAGACTTGGTTTTGTTAGAGCACAACCGTGATCTTTTTCCAAATGGCACATGTTCTGTGACAGCTGCTCTTGTGACTGGAAGTCAGGCACAAGAGTCTACAAGCTGTGGACACCTAAACATTCATTCTCTTGATAAAATTCAACTTTGCATTTTAACTATGGTTTCTTCAATTCCAGAACTAATAAAAACTGTTTAATGTTTGCAATGCAAAATGTTTTACTTACTAAGGATTATAACTCTACAAGGTAGGTTTTAAATAACATATCTGAGGGCACGAAGTAAGCAACAGAGCTGGGACAGAGGCCTAGATGACTCCAAAAGCTAGACCTTTTTCTATGCCTAGGATGCCTCTGTTACTTATCATATAGCCTTTACAGTGTTTTTGACAGAACCAAACACAAAACAAAAAGGACTCCAAAGTATAATAGTTTGTAAGCAGGGCTGAAGAAATCAGCAGGAAAGCTGCCTACTGTTTTACAAGATAGATAGCAACATATTGTCGAAGTCACAAGTATCTTCAAAAAAGCTCTTCTTTTACAGATGAGTTGTAGTGAAGTTTAAAGTCCTGATGGGCCCTTACCCATCTGTGCTCAGGTCGTCTGCATCACTGACTAGGGGAGGACCTGGGTTTCTCTCCACTCCCCACAACTCTGGGGACCTACAGCCTCTGAATTAGCCAGGGGAAACGGCTGGGTTCTGGGTGTGCCCGAGGCCATGTCTAGGCCCTTCTAGACAGTAGATGTGTTCACAAATCCCTGGGACTAAGATAAAGAAGCATGGGGCACACGTTTACAAGTAACTACAACCTAAGACCTGCAGTAGCACCCCAAGAGGAACATAATATGTGACCGGGGGTTCAGAGGACAAAAGCATAACTATTTCAGGTACCATTTGCCTCTTAATATTCACAGCTACTATGCGAGTTAAGCATCAGCCCCAATTTAAAAACGAGAATATGGATGTTAAAATTCATTATATCAAGGATGGAAGAACTAAAGAATTAAGATTAGGGATGTCTTCCAAGACACGGAGGTGAGGCATTCAAGGTGTAAGGGAGAGTTCTGAGGAAGGAATGGGAGCAAGAAGCACAGCACGTGTTTGGAAAATGAGCCTATGCGGGTTATACGGGGACGGGCTGAGGAAGCAGAAGGGAAGGACACCTGAAGGCCAAGGAGAGGGTCTGGACTTATCGGCCCGCGTGGGGCCACTGAGAGCGTCTGAGGCCAGCAGCAGCAGGAGCACCTCAGTGAGCACAGTCCAGCAAGGGAGGGGCCAGAGGAGAGCCAAGGCCTCAGCCCAGTAAGTGCCAGGTAACAACACGTCTGATGTGGGACAGGTCCGAGAGAGACATTTCCATGTAACCCAAGACTCTTCCATCTGATACTAAGAAATCCTTGTCACTTTTGAATATTTTGGAATTTTGGGATATGTATCAGGTATAAAGTAAAATTTTTAAAAAGAAAACAGTTATTATTGAAATTTTAGTTTAAAAAGAGCAGTATCTTATTGTAATTTGTCAAGCAAAACCAAGAGTAAACTATGAAAATTTATCAAAAGGATTAGAATTTATGGAGATTTCCATTTTCTAAATTGAGGCAGCGTAATGAATTGTGGGTTCTAACCTGTAGGCTCTAGACCCAGACTGCATTTAAATCTTGGTTCTGCCACTTCCTACCTGTCTGATCTTAAGCATTTTATTTCAACTTTCTCTACCCTGGTTTTCTCATCTTTAAAATAGGAACATCATAATACCTACCTAACAGGGTTGTACTTGAGAGCTTAATCAGAACCTGCCACATTAGTTATTAGCTGTATAAATTTATACCACCTTAGCTATGATTACACATTTTACTGTGTAATCACTTTACAAATAAGTATGTTTTACTTTAGTAATCAAAACTCAACTATGGCAAAATTAACTAAAAGGAAGATTAGCGGTAAGAGATTATGTCTTTAAATGTGGAAAGGGCAATCAAAGGGTAAAAACACGGTATTATTTCAGTCCGAGCCTCTTAAATTCCTCTTGGTTTATATCCATCCTGAAATCTACCAGAACTTTTTTTTGTCAATTACAGTTAACACCCAACATTATTTTATATTGGTTTCAGGTAAACAGATAGTGGTTAGACATTTATATAATTTACAAAGTGATTCCCCCCAATAGGTCTAGTACCCACCTGACACCATACGATATTAACTATATTCCCTATGCTGTAGTTTACATCTCTGCAAAACTTGATTTGTAAAAATCAAGTTCTTTAGCAAAACAAACAAAAGAAACAGATTCTCAAATAAGTCGTATTTAATTTACTGACCATTCAAATTCTATTACAAAAAGGTCATTTGTTTAAAAAAATTCCTAGGGTCTTATTTCAAAGCAAGAACAAAATCCCAGTACAGCCAAGTTTTATCAATCAATGTCTTGCATTGCATTCTGCTGAAATGAGAATTGCTTTCCACTAAGATTTACAGCTTTTACTAATGAAAATACAACTTTGGAGACAAGAAAGAATAGGTTCAAGTTACACAAGATACAAAAGCATTTTATACAGAAGCCTTAAGTCTTACCATGTGGCCAACGTGAGCCTTGCAGTTGCCCAAAAGGTTTCCCTTTGGGGATGGAACTTGGTTTGGATATATATCTGACTTTTCCAGGTCGATTTACTGGAAAGCTGTGTCGAGTCTCTCTAGAGTAGAAATTACATTATTATTATAATATTCCTAGAATCTCATATCAGTGATAAAACTGTGTTCCAAAAGGCCCAGATTCTACCTCAGATGAATATTCACTTACTCTGCACCTCACTGACATATTTAATGTGTAATAGCTCTCAACAAGTTATTCTTTATATTTCTTATTTCAAACTTCATATCTTTCAAAGAAACTATTGTTGTTCTCTATCCATTTCAAATTCTCTATGTATCGCCCTGGCCAGTGTGGCTCAATTGGTTGGGGTGTTGTCCCATAAACCAAAAGGTGGCAGGTTCAATTCCCGGCCAGGGCACATACCCAGGTTATAGGTTCAATCCCTGGTTGGGGTGCATGTGGGATGCAACCAATCAATGTTTCTCTCTCTAAAATCATTAAAAAAAAAAAATTCTATATGTATTTTGCAGTTACCTGTGTATTTAAGACCCCTCTTTATTCTAGAAAAGATTCAAGGGGCATCTGTTATTTTGAGTACATTCCAAATTACACACAGTAGTGATCTGACTGCATCTAGGTTTGCGTTGGGTACATTTCCTCTAGCCTCTTAAATTATGTGATTATGTTTATAATCTTATTTATTTTGTCAAAAGGTAGTAATTTTTAACAACACTGTAATGCTAATTGTTTACCTTATAAATCACCAACAAGTATAATTTTTTTTTTTTAATTCTCACCCAAGGATATTTTTTCCATTGCTTTTCAGAGAGAGTGGAAGGGGGAGAGAGAGAGAGAAACATTGATGGGAGAGATACTCATCAATTGGTTGCCTCCTGACCGGAGCCAGGGATGGAGCCTGCAACTGAGGTGTGTGCCCTTGACCGGAACTGAACCCAAGACCCTTCAGTCCATGGACCAACACTCTTAACCACTGTGCCAAACTGGCTGGGGCCAACAAGTATAATTTCATGTTTGTTCGCCATGTATAAGAAACTACACCTGGGTACTTTTCTTTAGCATCCTGTTTAATTCCTGCCTAATGAACTCATATCCAAACCCACTGCAGGCCATTATTGTAAGAAGAAATATGTAACAGTATCTACAGCTCAGTCAGCAACAACGAGGCGGGTAGGAAGAGATGGCACAGGAAGAAGGGGCAAGCTGGTGGGACTGTTTCTGCAACAGTGGAGCCAAGTGGAGAGCAGTTAGGAGGCAAATATTAACAAAACGACAGGAAATAGGACTGAGTGGATGTCAAAACTGCATTAGGCAAGCTGAAGGCTTTATATCTTACTAGATGTTTAATGCCATTGTCTTTCTCCTTAATAATTCTACGAATTTATAAAGACCTCATAATTAGGGTCCTTTTTGCCTTCACTTTATCATAATTCTGAGCAGGGTAGATGCAAATACAGTAAACTTGGGTCACAAAAGCGCTACATTTCTTATCACACCTGACATTACCTTGCCAGGTGATGTAACAGACGTTATCTCACCTTCTTGGAGAGAGGGAGCGCTGCCGTCTGGAAGTGTGACCAGTTCTGGGTTTGTCAGGCGATGGTTTCCGTGCAGCGGCTGGTAGCTGTACAGACTCAGACAGTAGTTCATTCATCAGACTGTATGCTTGTGAGATCCGACGACTGTAGTGGTCAGAGAGTAGCAATCTTTTAGAGAAAGAATTAAAAGAGTCACTTTCAGTTCATATTTCTGGAAGGAACACAGTGTTCCAAGACCACCGAGTGTGTTTTTTTCAATGCTTTTCAAATGCACTTCGAATGTAATATCGAAGTCCATATGTCCAAAGACCATTAGGCAGTATTATTAAAGGTGCCTGTAGCTATGGCCTTTGGGTAGTTTCAAAATATACACATATCTGGGTTGGGAGAGGGAGGGCAATAGCAGAAATAAAAGTCATAAAAACTGAATGGAGTAAGTAATATTTGAAAGCAAATTCCTAAGTAGGCTAGTGAAGTCTAGTTCTTCTCCTTGCAGCTACCTCCCGCAAGTGACAAAAGGGCCTACTGTGGAAACCGGAATTCCTTCGGCACTTTCTACGCCTCCGGTGAGCAAGCGTGAGAATGCTCAGGGTACAGCTACCACCCACCTGTCTTTTTCGTGCTTCATCTTCTGTCTCAGCCTGATTTCCCGTGAAGTCATGTAAAACTGCACAAGAAGTATCCAGTTAGCTCATTACTGTACAGTACAAATAACTAAACCATATGACCCATGGAAAACATGAAAATTCCACTAGTTGATTTTAACTGGAGGTTAAAATATAATTTTGTTATTTAAGAGATAGTGCAAAATACTCTTATATTTGCTGAAACTTCTGACCCCTGTGCAAAATATGAAAACTAAAAGCATCATGTAATTAAGTAAAATCCAGTTTAATAAATGGGATGCAAAATCTATTTCAGTAGCTAAATTAATATATTTTCTAAAAAGGAGAGAACCTTATCAGCTGCATTTAAAAGGGAAAATAAGAACATTTTAAGGATGGAGACAGCTATGCTTCACACTCTCTCTTGTGATTAATCTCACCAGGAGCTTGGCTGATAGAGCAGAAATGAGCCAGATTTTTAAAACCGTTCTTTTGATGTTTCAAAATGTTTACCAGAGACTTACTGAAGTGAGTTCATTGTGATTTTTAAACTCTTCAAAACTTGTGCACCATGAAGCAAAATAGCAAACAGTCAGCCATAGGCATCTTATTCTAGAACATTCAGAGTTACTGTCAAGTTGCTAATGAGGTTAAGTTTTTTTACACAGATTGTGGGCATACTTTCTCAAGATCCTATATAGTAGCAGTCAGTAACAAATGATGAGCTTTTAATTACATTAACACCTCACTAATCCCATACCTTTACCCAAATACAAGCTAAAAATAAAAAAATGAGGACTGTGATCTTGAAGGACATGTCACCAAATTTATACACCAAGCAGTCCCAATGCCGGAAGAGTTAACTGATTCTGAATTTGAACACAACTCTAACCCTCTTGGTATTTGCTTGGCTGACAGGGAGGGTGATGTCAGATGCCCCCATGGGATGGAGCAACACACACATACACATGTGCAATTGAAGATTCTGGTCATGTACCTCAGCAGCCTGAAGGTCATCACCATGCCCCTAGAGCTACTGACAAAATATTATGTTGACATCACATGCTCTCTCCAGACACAGGTAAGTAAATTCCACACTTTAAACAACAGTTCACCTACTTTTGCACCATCTGGTGATTAAATGTGACAGTCTTATCTGGGAAGTTCACTTATAGAATGTGTTCCCCTACTGATGCTGGGGGGAAAAAAAGAAGTACTATTTTATTTTATTTCAGATTAGAAAGTAAAAGGTAAACTGTAATAGAAGTGTAATCTAAATGGGATTTTCATAGTACTGTGATTACTAAGGGAACATTGCTCTGTTCCATCTTTAGAATACTTCTGACCTAGCCACGGTAATGTCCAGTCAGCTCAGTAAATAGATGTTGACAGTGTGAAGGGCAGCTGGCACACACACACACACACACACACACAGCGCCACTGTTCTGCTGGCACATGACTGGACCATACTTTTTTAAAAATTTTGGTCAGTAATGTATGGATAGAAAATTGATTTTTTAAATGGCTTTCTCACACACACAGATGTTCAGCTGCCACTGACTCTGAAAATTAAGGGAACAACTCCAGCTGTCACCCAACCACTCACACTCTTCATTTGTTTAAAATGCTAGCGCCATAGTTAGCCTGGGGGAGAAAAAAACACTTAAGGTAGTTCAATGGGACATGGTTTATACAATACCCTTACTTCCGTTAAGGTAACTTCTTAAGTAAAATGCTGACTTTTCTACCTGTCAAATAAATGCATCCAAATTATGTTATTCCTCTTCTTGAACTTTGCTAGGGAAAAACCACACACATTCTGTGATAATCCCGTTACCCCGGCACTGCAGACTCACTGGATTGCTCCTGGGGCAGAAAGGGTCGTGCTCCTGCCCCCTCTTCTCCGCCAGCTGACGTAAGTACTCTGCCATCCTTTCTTTTTGTTTCCTTTTCATCCAGACTTGGATCTCTCTTCTCTCCTTTGCAGTCCTTCCAGGACGTCTGTCAGAAGAATGCTGAATCCTGAGAAATTTAACAGGCAGGGTATCACTTGATTTGAAATTTGTGGAGACAAGAATCACAACTAAATACTGTTTATTTGGAAAGATTTTGTCCCATCTCAAAAAGTAGAATACACTTATGATCCCTCGTCAGCTTGCTCCAACCTGTCCCCTGAAATCCACTGGAAATGATCTCAGGAAGGCTACCAGGGGCCTCTCCAGTCTTTATCCCACTGGACTTCTCTGGAAGAACTGATACAATTTGGCTTTTCCTTTCTGCTTTAAACTCTCTTACCTGGGTCTTTTTCTAAGAAGTCTACATAGCATCTTACATTGGCCCCTTTCTTCTGTGCTCACCACCCTCACCACTAATGTCTTTAAAGGTTCTACTTTGGACTTCATCTATAATCTACTTCTGGATTATCTCAGTCATTTCCAAAACGTGGACGACAGAGATAGCTCTGGTCCGCTGCCCTCTGGATCCAGCCCCCTGTTCCTGCTGTGCCACACTTCTAGCAGCCACCCAAGCTAATGAGAGACACGGGGTGCCTCAGATGGGTCACTCTGGCTTAATGTCTCCCCCCTGACCCAGGTGAAACTTTCTTAGACCTGCACTAGACCCTGAGATTCTGCCTGCCCCATCCTCTTACCTTCCCTGTGTCACCGGCGGGTCAGTGCTGCCTGTGGTCTGACGCCTCTCCTGCTGGCGGTATCCCCCATGTGCATTTCTCCCAGTAAATCTCATGCACATCTAGTCCCATCCTGGCTTCTGCTTCTCAGAGGGTCAGAACTCACTCAAGTAGCAGAGAGAGTGGTCCAAGAAAACAGTGGTGTGAGGTGGGGATTTGGGGCAGACTCATCACCAGGGTGCAGAGGGCAGCACCCTAAGTGGAAGTGGGTCACAGACGCGAACCGTGTACTTCACACTGAACACAGCTTTCCTCCTGGAGTCTGGGCTCGATGTGTCCCAGGCAGAGCATGCCTACTGCCCGGCCCCCGGTGAACACTCCAGGCACTGGGTCTCTAGACAAGCCTCCCTGGGACACAGCAGTTCACACCCGCTGTCATAAGCTGTTGCTGGAGGAATTAAGTGTCTCCACTGGGAGGAATCTTGGAAGCTTGTGCCTGGTTTCCCCTGGAATTTACTCCATGTATCTACTCCCTTTGCTTAGTTTCCTTTTGCTGTAATGAGTTAAAGAGTCGTGTGTATGACCAGCGGAGTTTCCAGAGTCCTCCCAGCAAATCACTGAATCTGGGCTGATCCTGGGGACCCTTTACCCAGGGTCAGATCCACACCAGTGCTGACGTCTGGCAGCCTGTCCCCACCTCCTACAGCTCCTCCCCTCACAGATGTTTCCCCACATAAGTCTCTTGCTCATCTTATTCAGGCATCTGCTTCTGGGAGGACTAAGTACCAATGAACATTACTAACTGAATATTCTCCCGGCATCTTATATCTAAAACTACATTTTCTGTCTTGCTAAAGAAATCACCATCAACTCTGTTACCCAGGCAGAGGGTCATTCCCACTTCCTCCTGACGTCTCCAAGTTTACTCAAGCTTGGTATCCTATGCTGTCCATTCTGAGCTATCTCACGCCGAGACTACTAAGGCAGGCTGCTAACTGGCTCCCGTTTCTAGTTTAAAGCCCTTTGCTGACCCCCCCTTCCCCACTGCTTGCAGATAGGGTAACTCAGAGTGCCTCTGGTCCCCAGTAGCAATCAACACACCCTCTCTCCTTCCAATGCAGAAACTCCAGTCACATCTAACCCTTACCTCCACTGACCATCACACCTTTGCATATTGTATTCTTGCTGCCTATAAGATCCTTTCTTCTAGTTATAAGCAACATGAATTCCTAGTGATCCTTAGTGAATGACTCTTCCCTACCCGAAGCCCCCAGGGCACACTACTATAATCTGATCTTACATCATATTCTTTTTTATAGTTCTGTCTCCATTCAAGAGTAGAAACTATATTATCATTCCAATTTTTGACACTTAATACAATTTATAACATGATCATTAACTTAAAAAAACAACTGAAGGTCACTAAAAGGAAGTTAGGGTTTACATGATCTTGATATGAGGTCATACTATAGCAGATAATTCCACTAATAAATAGAAATTAGCAGGTTTTTTATACACTATTTCCTGGTAATTAATAGCCTTGTAAGTTCGACGATAACACACTGCATGTCCATTGAGGTAGTAAGTGGAATTGAACTAGGAAATACGGAAGGACGGCTGCTGTCCATAATGTTGACTGTCTTCCACAAACAAGCCAAAGGGTGTATGGACTGCAGGGGAGCTCTGGGAGGAGTGCCAGCCTTTATTCTCTCAGGAACCAGTTCTTGGCCCAGAAAAGGTTGCAAGGGAAAACATTTTAACCTAATGTTCTAAGGAAAGACTACTTAAAATGAATTCCAAGGCTTAATATTTAGAATAAGGTACTATGAACTAAATCATTAATTACCTCTAAGAAAAAATAGGATTAAATTTATATTTTACTCAGAATATAATGAGACTTTGGGAAAACTCACAATACAGGTGTGCCCTGTAAGTGAAATAAACTAGTCTGTGTTCTGGGGAGGGGAAGGAATGATAAACACCACAAAATGTATTTATGGAAAAAAAAAAATCTATTATAAGCTTTGAATTTGTTTCATAAAATAATTAAAATATGGCCAATTTTGAATATTCTTGAACTATAAACATTTTAAATGGTTAAAAGTTAATGATTTAATGCTTACCTGGAGATGGCCCTAGCCTGTTGTTCTGTTAGGCCCAGCTCCTCACTGGAAACTCCATCTTTTGTGATAAGGTCATCAATGATGTCTGCAATATCAGTCAGCCCTGTCACCTGGAGTGGATCTGCTGAGACGCTTCATTTGCAAATGCAATTTGAGAAATGTAAGTCAGTATCTACAACTTATTACAGTGAGCAAAACGAACATATAAAACTTTGCCCTCCAAGATCATAGTAACCCTCAGTGGAAAAACTTGATCATCAATAATTGGTTATTTTGTATGTGCTTTTAAAAAAGCAACATAAGGCGCAGGAGACAACTTCTACCTGTCCTGCCTGAAATTTAATACATATGCAGTAAAAGAAAATGTAGCCTATGGTGTCCTTACTGCCTGTGCTAACATAGTGAGGGATGTAACAGTTCTCAGTTTCTTAACACCCTGTTCCCAATGGGAATTTATTATATTTCTTTAATCCACGAAAAAATGTAGCACAGACATTCACATATACATGAACAACCCAATTTCCAGAATGCATAATTTATACCCAACTTTAAGTAAAATTGTGAATTAATTCTTAAGATATTTACCTCTCAAATAACTCATCACTGTTATTCACACCTTAAAAAAAGAAACATTATTAATAAAAATTTCAGCTCAGTTATTTTTCTACTTTTAGTTATTAACCTGACTTAGAAATGATATGAGCAGAAATTAAAATACTTTAAAGCTCCACACTGGCTTAAAGGTCTGTGTGTGTAGCATATGTATCCGCCTGAATATGCTCTCTGGTAGTAAATATTGTCCACACTTTAAGATTACTAGTTTTGTATGCATCATACTCTGAATAACACACTTTAGCAGGCACACTTTCTTTTCTTAGTACAGTTTAGAATACTGGAGTGCAATTTATTAAAACAATCACAAAAAACAAACCTATGAGGCCTAAAAGTGGTACATTTGGGAAAATATCTAATTTAAATCCAAGAAGCCTTTACTAAGAGAAAAAATTACAGATTTAACAACAGCTTCTTTATAGCCTTTCTTTTATCTAAATGACAGCAATACCATTTAAAAATAGCATTTTCTACTGCTCACATTACTTAATGGTAATAAAATACTAAACACTCGGTAAAATCATCATTAATGACCATCAATAACTAGGGCAAAAAAACCATTTCAAACCCACTGTCAATGGTTCAGCCATTGCATTTAGTATGATTTTATTCATGTGCCAAATCTACTTGTTAGGACTAAAGACCAGCATTTAATTGCCAGCTCCAAATGAAATGGAGTGAAAGTAGCATGAAGTTTTCTAAGTGTCAATATCCTTAACTGTAAAATGTGGACATTAATGATGCCGACCTCACTGTCAGGTTTGCAGGCGGCCATGCATGTGAAACAGCCTGTCTGGCCCATGGCAGAGGCTCCGTAAATCACAGCTATTATTTTGTTTTCAAATTAAACTGCAAGTTCTCATAATGGGCAGTGTTTGAATTTCTCAGTTTTTGTAAAGATAAAATATTGTAGTAATTCCAGTTGTATATTTAACAGTAATAAGCTACAGAGATACAATGCTTGCCTGCTGTGTATCCTAGGAAGGTGATAACATAGTCTTTATGTGAATGGTGCAGTTTTTTGACTCCCTTCCCCCCAAATTTGTAAGTATTGCAAAGTGGCTTCACAAATCCTTCATAACTACATTCCCAGTAAATACTACTCAGTAACAAGAATATACAGTTACAGAACATCTTTTAGTATATTGGAAAATAAGGGTGTAAGTGAAAAAAGTGGAGACCAGTACCAAGGAAACTTGTATTCCGGTCACTGGAGAGGCTGAGGGGCGAACTGACAGAAGGGAACACATAGGTTTTCGGAGAATGAGCTTCTGTTCCTGAAAGTTCAGCTTTGAAAGTCTGCTCTTTGTCACTTTGGTCTTCCTTATTCATATGAGTCAGGAAGGGCACTAATCCAGAGCCTGTGTTACAATTGAAGAGAACGGTAGAGGGAAGACCCACAGGGAAAAGATGTAACACGTAGCGGACACTTCCACATGGCAACAGATATGTCAGAAGTTTGCAACATATTCTGATAGCTTTCTACTGTATACTGAAATAATTTAACATGACATTTAAAATTGACATTTTCGAATAAAAAAGAAAAAAACTACTAAATTTATCACCAACTTCAGAAAACATGGTAGACTGGGCTAAAGTGGACAGGCGCCTGCCTGCCTGTTATAAAAACACAGAAGAAATGCTAAATTAAAAAAAATTGATTAATACAGAACAAAACCCTGTAAATAAAAAGATCCCCTGGTGCCAGAAAAGGAAAGGAGTTGCAAAGCTGTGTTATAAATGAACAGTGATGTGGGGCAGAGTCAACAGAGGATAGGAGGTGTGGCTTCTGCAGACTGCAAGGAGGGAACCGAGCCACTTCACGTGGCCTAGAGCGTTGAAGGTCAGCTCTGTCCTTAAAATGGGGATAAGAAAACCCTGCCCTGGAGAAGCAGCAAAGAAGTTTTCTATCTGCCTGGATAGTGGACGAAAGAAAAAGAAAAGTCAACTCTGAGGAATCAAAACCCCTGTGTTGCCACAAGTAGGTGTGGAATCTGAATTTATAGCACAGCAACTTCAACCCAAGAACTGTACACAAAACCTATCTTAGCCGAGCCGGTGTGGCTCGGTGGCTGAGCATCGACCCATGCACCAAGGGGTCACCGGTTCAATCCCCGGTTGAGGGCATGCAGGAGGCAGCTGATGAATATAGATGTTTCTCCCTTTCCCTTCCTCTCTCTAAAAATCAATAAAAAACATTTAAAAAAACCCGTCCTAACATTTTCTACCTCACCACTCTAAAGACAAGCATACACAACTCAGCAGAACCCCCTAAAGATGGTAAGTGACAGGTCACACGAAGAAAGACAGCATGGAAGAGAAGAGTCAGTGTGCAGAATGAAAGACCGAGAACATGCCTGCATGAAATAAAGCAATCTTAGAGGGCATAAAAAACGACTAGTCATTAAATAGATTAAAAAGGCACAGAAACCACTATAAAAGAACAGGACAGTATACCCAAAGGACAGAGAGATTTGAAAAGGAAGCAGAACTTCTAGACGCCAATAACGTAGTCGCCAAGATTAACGTCCTACAGCAGAGATGGCATGGCAGAAGAGAGGACAGCAGACTAGGGGACCTGAGGGAATCACCGAGGAGAGCCCTGAGAGAGAAAGGGGTGGGAATTACGAAGTGGCTACGAGACGGAGTAGAGGGAGAAGGTCCGACGGACCTCTAAACAGGTGTTTCAGAAAACAGAACAAAGAATGCGGAGGAACCAACACTCCAAAAAGTACCAGCTGAAAAATTCTCAGTGTTAAACCTGCAAATTAAAGAATCCTTCCTACTCCCTTAGAGAATAAAGAAAAAGAAATATACACCTAGAAACACTATCAAAAATGCAAAATAAGTAAAAAACAAACTTTTTAAAAGCTTTTAAAAAAAATCAGAGCTAAAAGAACAGCAAAAAGACAGACAGCAGACAGGTCGTATAAACTCAGCAATTAGAAATGTTAGTAGTAATGGACTAGTATGCTTAAAAAGCTGAGGACAGTAAGCTTCAGCACAGGATACTGCCCTCTCTGTGCGCCATCTCGGGAGGGTGGTAAAATGAGAGCTGTTTTCAAAGTCTGGGAGAATCTACCACTGAGAGGCTCGACCGAGAGAACGCGTGAGGAGGAAGAGGGAGCAGTGCCGGGACGGCGCCCACCGCACACGCACCAACTGCTCATAGCGAACCACCAGGCCCGCCGCGGGCAGGGCGGGCGCTCAGGCGCGGGGCCTGTGTTCTGGTTTTGCACATTTGCATTACTTGAATCGTAATTTTTTGAAAAAGAAGCAACTGAAGATAAAGAAATGGCAAACATGCTGATAAATTCAAGTAAATATTGACTTAAAGGTGGAAGTAAAACAAAACCGTCAGACGCGGGAGGGGCAGGTCAGTGTTCACAGCTGACACTGTCGGGGAGGTCAACACATTCACCTTGAATTTTAAATCCACTGAGTGTTGGGAATTCAAGAATAATCACTAAGAGATTAAAATATAATGTATAATTGCAGGGAGGAGAGAACATACAGGAAATTCAACCCAGCAGGAGAAGGAGCGCGCAGTCAACAGGAAGCCAGGGTAAGGCTGCAGCGACCAGCAGAGAACGGCGGCAGGAGCGGCTGATAGCGCGAAGTGCGGGAACCACCAGGGAGGAGCAGCAGCCACGTAGGAGCAAGCTGTCGGAGTGCTCACAGCTGCAAACCTGCTTCTCCCGCCCTGTGTTGATCACAACTAATGGAAACTGATTACACTCGGTGATTAAAACACAAGTTGTCTATTTTAAAAAATGAAGTCTAGTGATACGCTGAACACAGCCACAAGATAATCCCTCCGTTTCAAATTAAAGGGATGTCTTACTTACAGAAAATACAGGGACAAAGGAACATCACAGAATAACATCACAGAAACTCAGTTAACAAAACCAGGCTCTGAAAGACACTTGAGCACAAACATCCATGTTTCTTCAACAAGTAAACTGCAAGGGGGAAAAGAGGGATGGAGGAAGGCAGAAGTCAAAGGAGACTCACACGCCATCAACCAGTTGCCATAAATATATCTTACTTGGATTCCAACTAGAACAAAAAAACTATTTTTGAAAGTGAGACAACTGGCGACTTTCGAACCCTGATTAAATATAATGTGCTGTCTGGGATTTGCTTTGAAATAACCCAAGAAACGGGAAGAGTGGGTGGGTAAAGGCATGAAACAGGACTGGCCATGAGTTGATAACTGTTAAAGCTGGTGGTTGGGTACATGAATGTTAATTATACTATTCTGTCTTCTGTTGAAATAGGTTTGACATTTTCCGTAAGTTTTTAAAAAACAAAAAGGAAGCAAAAAAGATATACCAGGTAGAGGAAAGCAGAAATGGAAATGTTAATATTAGACAAAATTGACTTTGAATCTAAAAGCATTATTAGGGATACAGTGTCATTACTTAATGATAAAAGGAACAAACTTCAACAAAAAATGTAATAATCATAAATACTATTCATTTTATAACACAGCCTCAACTACATAAAGCAACATTTAACAGAATTACAAAGAGAAATAAACACTTCCACAATCACTGTGGGCAAATTCTTTGCACCCTTCTGAGAAATAAATAGCTCAAGACGACCAAACAAATTCAGGAATACAGAGAACCTGTGTGTGCGTGCGTGTCTACACACACAGCTGACCTTTGAACAACAACGGGGTATAGAGACGCCAGCCCCCACACAGTAAAAAAATCCATGTACAACTTCTGACTTCTCAGACCTTAGCTGTCCCTCGGTATCCGTGGGGATTGGTTCCAGGACCCCTCCTCCCCGCAGATAACAAAATCTGCAGTCGCTCAAGTCCGCGTACACTGGCGTGGATAATGCCTGCGGTCAGCCCCTGCACCTGCGCACTCTCCACTGTGCATCAAAAACAGTACAAGTATTTATTGAAAAAATCCGCATATAGGTGGACCCACACAGTTCAAACCTGTGTTGTTTAAGGGTTAGCTGTATATTTACACCTATAGATATATCCTACATAAACCAACAAAAAATGCTTATTCTTTTCAAATAAACATAGAACATTTACAAAAGCTGACTATATATACTAGGCCACAAAGGACATTTTAATAAGTATCTAAGAACTGATATCATATACTCCTCATAATACAATAAAATTGGGAATAAATTACAAAAATGCAGCTCAAACTTCATAATATTTAGAAGCTAAAAAACCATTTTATGAGCTAAGAAGAAATTGTAATACAAATTACAAGCTACTCAGACCTGAGCAATACCAAAAGATGCTATACATCAACACCCTGCCTGGGTCCTCGCAGGAATATGCTCAACCTCAAATGCATGTATTAAAAAAAGAAAGAGGTTAGGAGAAAACAAGGCCCTAACGCAGAAAAAATGATAAAGCTAAGAATAGAAATTTATGAAAAAGAACATTAACAATAGAGAGAACACCGAAGCCTGGCTTTTTGAACACATTAAATGGCTGACAAGACTGAATGAGAGAGTGTAGATATAAACTACTATAGATGCAGCATAAATTTTAAAAATAACTACCCTAATTTCTTCCTTTCAATAAGAAATGCAGAAACTTAACATTTCACTATTTCCCAGCCATTCAACCAGAACCCCAAATTCCAGCTCGGCTGATGGACACAAACAGCAACCCCAGCGCCAAGCTCTGTGATTCCCCAGCAGCGTGTGGCTGGGGGTGCAGGCACGAGAACTGAGACCCAGCCCCCACGGCCCAGCTCTGGTACAAAAGCTCAGACAAAAAGTGGCCTGATGTGGGAGCCACTCACATCATCACACAAATAATCCCAGTCTAAAAACTGGGAGCTGATGGCGCCAGAGCCACATGAAAACCATCTATATTTCTGACATTCCCAAAGGCAATGCTTATTCTTCCCAAGCAAGGCTTCATCCCCCCAACCCCCGGCTCCCCACCAACCTTCTTTGGAAAGGGTAATGGTTTTTGAAGCCAGTGTTTTTTCAGATTCAGGGCCATTAGACAATTCAGTGTGATGCACGGATTGAACCTGTAGAAAAACACACCACAAAACAACTTATAAATTTTATAGTGTGATAATTTCAAAATATCATAAACAATTTTATGTAGGTTTTAAGTTAAACCTTTGCATTAATATAACAAAGGAAATAAATGGGAATTTTTACTTATTTGTAGCTTAACTGATTTAACCTTGTAAGAGGCTCAGGAAAAGAGCACCATCTAATTTTAGACAGGGAGCAATGTTGACTACCATCTAGACAAAACCTTTTAATGATGAGAGGACAAGGCCCAGAGACATTCAGTGACTTTCTCAGAGGCAGACCATGGACTTGAACCCAGGTCCTCAAGGCTCCTAGTTGGTGACTGTCCACTGTGTACCTCCGCCTCCTCCAGGCCTACAAGCTGCTGTCTTTACTAAAAGGGGCAAGTCTGAATCTTAGCATTTATGTGCGCTTTATAATAAGATGAGAACATCTTAAACCAATAAGTCAAACCTTTCATTTAAATCAATATTACTTTCCTTGAAAGTACTTGGTATTATTACCTAATAGTATACTATCTTACCTCACATAGTTTTTTCAGTGTAGTTGCTCATATGGTTAATCTTAACTATTTAACATGTGTTAAATATTAGGATTAAAGAAACACTGTAGCCCTAGCCAGTTTGGCTTAGTGGTTAGAGCGTCAGCCACAGAGTGAAGGGTCCTGGGTTTAGTTCCGGCCAAGGGCATGGACCTTGGTTGCAGGCTCACTCCCGGGCCCTGGTTGGGACACATGCGGGAAGCAACCAATAGATATGTCTCTCTCACGTTGACGTTTCTCTCTTTCTACCCTTCCACCATCTCTTAAAAGCAATGGAAAAAAGTATCCTCAGATGAGGTTAAAAAAAAAAAAGAAACACTATAAACCTAATAAATACATCTTTAAAATGTCAACATGCTGGAACCTGGAATACTTGCTAGGTATGGTGGATGATGGCATTCTTACCCTGCAAAACAATCTGCATTTCCCAATATAGGCTTCAACACATTCAAAATATTTTCACTATTCTTTAATCTTTATTTTATATAAATTTCACTTCCTAAAAAAAGAACATATTTGTGCAAAATAATTAATAAATTAATGTTTGAGACTTCTTTTTAGTTGTCCAACTACCATATATACCAATATACATAAATATTAATCTTTGTATTACAAATATTTTTTAAAGATACAGAAACCTTCTAAGGAATACTAACCCATCATATAAAATACTTAAAAGAAACTAAGAATTCCAAATAGAAGGACAACAATAATTATAAAGTTATAAAAATCTTGCTGAAGAAAATGATAATTAGGAACAGGGTTTGTTTCGAACCACATTCCAGTTTTAAAATTCAGGTATTTCTTTTCCTGGTAGAGGCATAAAGTCACTTCTTACAAGCTTAATGCGGTAGTTCTCAATGGGAGGCAGTTTTGCCCCCAGAGGACATTTGGCAATGTCTGGAGACATTCTATTACCACAGCTGAGGGAAGCTGACAGCTAGTGAGTAGAGACCAGGGATGCTACCAAACAGCCTACAATGCATGGACAGCCTCCCGCAATACAGTCATCCGGCCCAAGCGTCAGGATGCTGAGGTTGAGAGACCCTAGAAACTAAAGAAACTAAGCTTCCCACTCTTCTGAAAAATCAAATGTTTATAAAATTATATCACACTACAAATCTGATAACTAGGTAATAAACAAGAATACTAAATAAAATCAGCCTACCTTGCCACAGTGCTGGGGCTCCATTCCGTGCCTGGGGAAGTCCTGCTCGATGTGGTCAGCAATGTGCTGTATCGCCAGCAGCTGTGCGTCGATTTTCTGCAGCTGAGAGGTGAGGTGCTGCAGTCGGCAGGCTGCAGGGCTGGGCGCTGGGCATGGAGCAGAGACAGCCTGCAGCAGCTCCTGCAGCAGGTAATCCCGCAGCCCATCCCTTTCTGCAGCATCTGGCTGTGAGCTCTGTTCTTTGAATTGAAAATCTGGCTTCGGCATGTCTGAATATTAATGAGGGCAATAAAAGAATTGATTATAATTCAGGGAGACGTAAATGCTGATGACCTCATTTTTTGGAAGATCTCAATTTAAGTCAACATAATGTTCCCTTCCAAATCAGTTTTAACTATTTACTTAGAAATACCCTTTTAGCTTCCTGACTTCTGAGATTTGTCTCTGTCCTGAGATAAGAATAGAAAACTGTGTTACTGTGACCACAAGCCTCCCCCGATAGGGCGGTCTGAGCGTTACTTTTCTCCTCTGCTACAAAACCATACTTCACCAAAAAGCAACTTTAATATCTGTATGACTTTAAATCTTTACTTGAAAACCAACGATGCCACACAGAGAAAGCTAGACCCAGTGCTGGCCATTACTGACTCTACAGGGGATCTCAGGCAAACATTAAACCTCCCAAGACCAGTATCAAAGCCAGTGACTGTCACGCTCTTAAACTCAATTGATTCTTGTCCCAAATTTGAAATACTTCCTTAAATGTGTTCTTCTGGCTTCTGGGTCTCCCCGGCCCTCTACCTTTCTTCCTTCTTAGACATCGTCATGGTCGTCTCTTCTGCCACCTGCTCCTTTCCCCATCCCTTCCTGGGTGCCAGTCTCAGCTCACCTTTCTGCTCCCGATGCCTGCTCCCTCCGAGTGCCGTCCCTGAGGCACAGGAGACTCTCGAATTTATTCTCAGACTTTCTGAGCTCCAGCCCTTAAACCCACCTGTCCTGGACATTTCATCTCGGTCATCCCAGAAGCACATTAAACTGAACTCATCACTCTGACCTCCAACCTCCTAACAGCTGTGGAGCCCAGAAGAGGCTCTGGGTCTCTGCTGACTGTGCATATTCAATTCAGCTAATCATTCACATGATGTAATAACTAGGTTTTGAAGAAATCATCTTCTTAATCTTGTAAATATTTTATAATAATGCAACCTGATTTATGACTATAAAACTCAGTATTTTACTAATAAAGTGCTGTTGGCTACCACACTTGTGCATTTCTGAGATAGCACATACAATTTTGTGTCTATGCTATCCCAGAATTTCCCATCCTTTTAAATATTAAATATGATACTTCCTTTTTAACACAAAAACCTTATGAAGTCCCACAGGGTATTGATTGCTAACCTCATTAATCAAGAAAAGACATATGCACAAGTAGACCTGCAGTCTCCTTGTAAAATATCCATGGTTCCTGAGCTTGGAACCATTTACCCGTCTGTCCCCATTCTCAGCTGGGGAAAAGCTGCCTTCTGGTTTATTTCGCAATGACCAAGTTTCAGTGCTTGTTTCTAATAGAGCAGTAATCCAGGGAAGGGGAGAGTCATGCCATGTGTCTAGGGCACTCACCTCTGTCCTGCTCTTTGTCTGATGATGGAGGTGAAGGGATATCAGGCTCCTTCATGTCTGCAATGCCTGCTCTCCAGCTTCCTCCATCCAGACAGGAGAGAGATGATACTTCTGCAGGTTTAAGAAGAAAGTCTACCACAGAGCCGGCAGATTCTATCATGAATACGAAAGGCATACAAAGATTGATCCTAAACTTCTAAACGAGCCACTCAGAAGATTAACAGATCGTTCTAAATGGGAATATAAACATCCAAACTACAGTGGGGTTCCAGGGGAGCTAGGAGATGTAAGTAGGGTTAGCAATGCTATGTTAAAAATGTTTCAAATTAAAATGTATTTAAAAAGTAGGCAAAAATTATTACCTTGACTCTTAAAACTGCACAGGGGAACAGCACTAGTAACTGAAGCTGCCATGTAATGTAACTCTGCAGAAGACGGGACTTCTACCTGCTGTCTGACATTATTGTCACCTGAAGGCTCTCTGACAGGTAATTCCTGTAGGTCATCAGCTTCGATGTCAATCACATTTATGTAAGTGTGTCCCACCTGAGTGGAAACATGACATCAGAGGGTTACATTCTTTTACTCTATGTGACCACTCTGCCCACCTCCACCCCATAAAAAGGTCTACTGAAGGCAAGAAGAGCTCACATGAGCCTGCTTTAGGGAAAGCTGCAGCAAGTACATGTTATAATCTTAGTTTACAATATTTTGGGGCATAATATTTAAACCTTAATTTTTTTACTTTTTGCTAGAAAGGTCAAATATTTGTAGCCTCATTTCATTCATTCGGCTGCATACTGAAGGCCATAGTAGGCTTTAGCACAAAGCTGTCGCTAAAACCTCCCAATAAGACCCTAACCCAACCTCATACCATGTCAGAGGCTGGAGGCGGCAAAGGCCTCTCTGCCCTTCTGGTGGGAAGCCTGAGATTCAGATGCACATCTGGAGCCACTGCCTGAGGGACAGCCAAAGGTTCACATTCTGAAAATAAAAAAAAGGAAAATAGGGAATATAAAAAAAAAATCTGTAAGTAGCTCTAAGTTATTAACTTTGTAAGAACAAGTTGGCAATGAACAGCGTAACATGTATTTGCTGAAAATCTAAGTAGAAGTTTCACAGGTACCACTTACTCCAGAGTAATTCTTAACCGAATGGAGACTGACTACTGCTTTTCTCACACAAATAAAAGTCAGTCATGTCAAGAAAAGGCTGTGTTCCCTATTTTCCAGTTCAGACCATATTAAGTCATGTTTGTTTATTTAGGAGAATTTCAATAAAATCAGATTTTGGGAAATTAACCAGTCACAAATTTATTTCAACATTGCTTATCTGTTTATTTTATTTATTTTTTAAATATATCTTTATTGATTTGAGAGAGAGGGAAGGAGAGGGAGAGATAGAAACATCAATGATGAGAGAGTCATTGATTGGCTGCCTCCTGCACGCCCCAGACTGGGGATCGCGTCCGCAACCCGGGCATGTGCCCTGACCAGGAATCGAATGCTCAACCGCTGAGCCACGCCCAGCCGGGCCTTATCTGTTTAATAGCTTTACTGAGATATAATTCACATCCTTTAAAAGGGTACAATTCAATGGTTTTTGGTAAACTCACAGAGTCCATAGCTGAATTTTACCACTAAAATAGTTAACATCTAAATTTCATAAAACTCATTAGCTTCTTATTCAAAAGTAAAATAAAGAAACCTGTCACCATAGGTCAGCAGGCAATTTAACTCGGTGTCTTCTGTCCTAAGCGCCAATCTTATTTCCTAGCATTTTATTTTTAATAGAACATTACTTTCAATTTCATATGCAAACTATAACTCACTGTCAAACTGAGTGTTGGAAACTTGGTACCAGGGCTTGAATTTACACCATCCGACCACCATAAAACCAGAAAATAGGAAGTGGAAATACTTAAATTAGCATTGTCTCTATTAAATCAATCGATTGGTGTAAAAGCTTTTTCATGGGCGTGGTGACTCCTGTTTTGAAACCATGCAGACATAATCTTTAATAGCTGTGCTTTCTCAGAAAAAAAGAAATCACACCTGATGTGGAGGAAATGACCTGTTCATTTTTCCGACATTCAGAAACAACTTCCTGAGAAGCAGCTTCTTTACCTTGTCAATTAGGAGAGTTGAGGCAAAAAGAAAACAAAGAAAAAGGATTTCACAAACACAGAAATAATTAAATATATAAATGCAGATTTTTAGATTATTGGGTAGAAAAGGTAGAAAAGTAGACTACAGCTTAAATTTTTAATTTTTAAAAATTAACGATAATTTCGTATTTTATTATTATTTATATTCTGGGCCTGACTACCAGGATAAATAACAGACTCCTAGCAAACAGGCTGCAGACTTTGAAGACTACCCAGCAGCAAAGAACCCCCCAGGGCTTTCTCAAAGTTACATTTAAGAATGTCTCACAGATGCCAACAGACATGGAAAGAAAGATGTTCAATGTCAGTAATCATCAGAGAGATGCAAATTAAAACCACATGAGCTATCACCTCACGCCTGTCAGGATGGCTCCATCAACAAACAACAGGTGCTGGCGAGGGTGCGGAGGAAAGGGCACCTTTGTGCACTGTTGGTGGGAATGCAGACTGGGGAAGCCACTAAAGAAAAGTGTGGAGGTTCCTCAAAGAATTAACAATGGAACTGCCTTATGACCCAGCAATTCCACTTCTGGGAATGTATCCAAAGAAACCCGAAACACTAATTCAAAAGAATATGTGCACCCGTGTTTACTCCAGCATTATTTACAATAGCCAAGACCTGGAAGCCATCCAAGTATGGAAGCCCATCAGTAGATACGTGGATAATTAAGAGGTTTAAAAAGGCACTTATGTGGTTCCATACACAGGTAAGAGAAACCGTTTCCCAAACATCCTATAAAAGAATTACAACACAAAGGGCCAAGAACTTGTATTTACCAGGGTGTCAGTTAGGCAACAATCCAAACAATGCTTCTCCACCACCTGCTCACTCTCGGGCACAGCTGCACACGGCCTCCCGAACTGAGGCAGCCTGGTGCTCTCCCCACCTCAGCTTTACCAGCTGCACACCTGGCCTCTCAATCGCAGGCATGACCTTCCAGCGAAGGCCATGAATGACAAAGACTCCAATTCAAAACATTCTTTCTACCGACTTAGGATGCAACCCACAGCATTTTTGAACAAAAATCTCTATTATGTTTTAAGTTACCATAAATTCAAATTGAAATTTGATTTTAAGTTTAAAATTTGTAAAGCATATACCAGGATTGGGGACAAGAGCCTGGGTGAGTAACTAACACCACGTAATTTAAAATTCCCTTTAAATCATTTTTGAGAAAAAAACGAAGTATATTAAATGTTGCAAAATATATGAATTTTTAAAATTAAAGTAAAATACCACATTACCTGGATCTGTATTTGTACTTGCATCGTGACATTCTATAGCTTTCTTTCTCACAGAGGCCATGAAATGCAATCCAGCTGAAGTAGTATCATCCTGTAGCATTTCTTAAATATAACAACAAACATTGGAAGCACTCTATAAGAAGCCAATATATTACTAGGAACCCAGAAGCAGAAGTGGAGTAGCTACCTCAAGGGGGGTGAGATATGAGGTGTCAAGATGTTACCAAAAGGGACTTTCTGAATGAGGTGGTGTCTGACTCTCAGAGGCAGTTCAGTGGAATCAAAACCAAACTGTGGAGGACTTGTGAGTCCAGCCTAGACTCCTGAAACAACGAGGCTAAGGGGGCCTCTGGGTTGATGAGCAATCCCAGTGGATGTGCTGGGAGGGTGGTACACCCAGAGACGGTGTGGGAGCTCTCTGCCCCTAACCCCTAGACCTTGCCCTATGTACGTCTTCCATTTGCCTATTCCTGGGTCACATCCTTTAGAATAGAACTGTAACCATAAATAAAACGCTTTTGTGAGTTCTGGAGTTGTTCTAGACAATTAGCAAAGCTGGAAGGGGCAGTCATGAGAACCCCCAAATTTTCAGTTGACCAGGCAGAAATGCAGGTGTCTGGGGACCCCATTTACAGCTGGCATCTGAAGTGGGGAGTCTTTTAGGATTGAGCCATTAACCTGTCGAGTCTGTGTTAACTCTAGCTTATTAGTGTTAGAATTGAATTGTATGACATTCAGCTGGTGTCGGAGAATTGGAGAATTACTATTGTTTGGAATTATACAATATACACTCCTGGAGTACTATGCAGTCATTAAAAATGACATTGTAGGATATCTGGTGATACAGAAAGACATCTACCTGAATGCTAGTCTGTAAAAACAAGTAAGTCATAAACAAGTATGTATGTAGTGTGTGTGTGTGTATATATACACACACATACACATATGAGTCCAGTGACATGGTTAGCATGCTATGTATGTGTGTGTCTGTGTGTGTAGGGATATTCATAAAATAAACCTTAAAAGAATATAACATCAGTTATCTCTAGACAGAAAGATTATGGGAGATTTTAATATTCTTATTCCATTTGTATTTTCTATATTTTCTCCAGTGAACATGGATTACTTTTAAGAAGCAAAAAAAAAAAAGAAGGAAGAAGGAAGAAAATGCTGTTAAGAGGTGGAAGCTAACTAGGTCAGTCAGGAGACAAGTGCTTGGTTTAGATGCAGAGGCCAGATGCAGGGCGGGGTCATCGAGAACGGGGCAGAGGGACCAGGCCAAGGACTGAATGAAGAAGTGGGATGACAGAGGTGAGAGATGAGTCAAGGGTCTTTTCAAGGTAAAAATCTTGACATGTCAGGAGATTGGTGATACCACTAACAGGAAGATGCCAGTTTAGAATTTGGACACGTCCAATCTACAGTGAAAGGAGAAAAGAGAGATGAGAGAGGGTAGATGTAGACCCAAGTATCTTTACAATAATTTAAGAGCTGACATCATGTGAGTGAGTGGCTTTCCATGCACAGGAGTGTTTGTGTCTGTATGAAAATCACTGAGGAGAAAGCCCTGGGAACACACACATTCAGTGGCAAGAAAGAAACTGACCAACTGAAGAAAGAAAATAATTTACTATCTATAAGCAAGTACTCTTTTCTGAACTGCGTCCTTTACTTTAATATGCATGTATCTTCTATGGTGAATTCTACCCTAGGCATGTTCTTCCATAATTTCCTTTTAGACCTTAAATATCAGTACGTTATTTGAAATTCTAATTAGCTGCATTGCTCTATATAGTGGTTAGCAAGCTTGTTCTGTAAAGGGCCAGACAGTAAATACTTTAGGCTTTGTGAACCATACGGTCCCATTTTGCAACAGCTGGACCCGGCTGCAGTGAGAAAGCCATCACAATTTGCAAACACAGGGCACAGCTGTGTTTCAGCAACTGATTCACAGAAACAGGCGTGGACTGGATGTGGCCTGTGGGTCATTTGTCAGGAGTGCTCTATTGGATATCAACACACACACATGCACACACACACACAACATACACACCCTTCCCAACACACACAAACACACACATCTTGTCAAAGATCATGTGAAAATAATTCAGTCTCATTTTTATGTACATATTTCTAGATATCTAGTTGATAAAGCTAATTTTAACTCTGAACTTAGACATTACATCAATCATGCATATACATACCAAGAGGAATTTCAAATTCATCCAAAGTCTGGGAACCACGATGCTCTCGCTGCTCCTAAATGGATCCCCAAATGATCAATCTAAGATTAACTCAATGACATTTATTATTTGAAAAAATATGTATATAGAATAGCTATGAGAATTGTTAATTCTGAGGAATAGGTTCAAATCCCCTAATTCTAGAAATATTTATTTATTCTATCAAATTATTTACTCTATCAAAGTAACTCTACAAAGGAGTTCAGGAAAGTCACAAGTCAAACAATAAAAAAAGCAGCATTTAATGCAATTACTAAATTACGGAACTATTCATGGACTTAACTAAGCCCCAGACATGCTCTTGAGAACTTCATGAAAAAGTGTGCCTTTTAAACGTTCACATGAAACTGTTTCAGTTTAATCTGTTGTTGCAAAAATAGGTAAATAAGGTCACCAAATTTAGCAGGAATGTTTGAAAAGATCTGATTTAAAATATAGGTTACACAATAAACCTGTATTGGGGATATTTAGAGGTACCTAAGGGAAATAAGGGAAACTGAAGTAGGAGAAACCAAGTAACATAGAATGTGCATTAAGATGTCATAGAAAAAAAAGCAAAGAGTGATGTCAAATAAAAAAGTCACAGACGGATGCTCTAAACTACAGACTAATTTACCACCAAGGTGCTTCCACCTCTCAACTGTGTGTCCACTGCTCCATGGCAGCACATGGCAGGAGCTCTGTGCTAATGATGCAAAGTGCCCTAGTCACACTTGGAAGCTCCAGCAAGCAGACTAGATAAACCACAGACACTCTAAACTCTATACCTACAGACTGGGGAGAGTGTACAGTTTTATATACCTGGGGTTTCACAGCTATTTCTGAATCATGGTCATTAACGATGGCACCCTCTGGTTGCAAAGTCACACTTGGTTTTCTCCTTAGTTTCTCTGATCTTTCTTCTTGCAGCTCTTTCTTAGTTCGTCGTCTTTGCCTGTGAAAACAACAGTATCAAATATATTTTTACTATTTTAGTAACATCAGTTTTTCATTTGTATCATGCTATATAGGGAGACCATTATGATTTATGATAATTATAATTTATGATTATGTCATAAATTTATGTCAAATTATTTTCAGTGGCACCTAATTTAATTAGCCAGACACTCTGCTACAATACAAGCCAAAGTCAGGGACACATGAAAGCTATTTCTAGCTCCTGTACTAGTGAGCTGACTTTCTGTGTAAATCACTGGAATCTCAGGCCAGAATTATACCCTTGTAGGTAATTTTCAAACTCCCTTCTCTGCAGATTCGAAGCTGGCCCAGGAGCCCTGCCAGAGACCTGCATTCACCTATTTGAACAAGATTAGTGCACTTAGTCCCCTCTTCCCAGCAAGGGGGTGGAGAGGGGAAGAGGGCTCAAAGCGCCAAGGAGAGACTGGCTCTGAAGGGGGAATCCTAGGAAAGATGGGAGGATGGGACCTTTTCTGGAGAGAGCACTGGTAACAATTCAGGATCCTAAATGTAAAAATCGTAAAGTACTTTCCAGACTCAGTAATTGGTTGTCAGTATGCGTACTGAACATCCATTATGAGTACCACACCACAGATGCTCTTCATCCTAAGTCACAGCCTCCTTTTCACACAAATTCTCAGTGTCCCGACAGTCACATCACTTACCCTCCTGCTTCCCAGATAAGAGCCTGGAGGACACGGTAAGATAGGGAACAGTAAATACAGGGTGTCCCAAAAAAATGTATTCACAGTTTTAACCCATTATTAATTCCAATGGGTTAAATCTGAAAAGAAACACCAATGGAGCTAGCAGCTGTGAAAGCGTGTATACACTTTTGGGGGACACCCAGTATTCGTCCAGTGTATTGGGGAGTACATGGAATAATGCATGAGGTAGCAAATGTTTTGTGCTGCAAAGATGACTGCTTGTCCCGTTGCAGGAAAATACAAAGGAGTCCTCCAGTCTATGAATGCCAGGAAAGAATTTCTTAGTAAAATGGAAAAAAATAATAGTATTTGTCTCACAACACAGGAATTTCCCCATCACAAGATGTGTTCCAATGCACGACACCTGACAGAAACTGAATGTGCAATCGCGTTTGGGTAGGAGGTGAGCCGCTTAACTCCCACTTTATAACTATTACTGTAACTAAAAAATGTGCAGGTACGTGACATTCTCAAATCCAGTTTCACTGAAAACTTGCCTTTTCTTGCTGTCCTTCCCTTGTCTTACTTCGGGAGGGTCTGTTTTGCCCTTCATAAGCTGAAGGTACCCGGGATCACCTTGTTCAAATAAATCACGTGTTGGTCTCTGTTGGCTTTGCTTAAAGGCAGTGAACTTTTCAACTGGAATAAGTTGTAGGGATTTGTACTGTAAGAAAGAAATAGAGCATGTTAATTTAAAACCACATACCTCAGTTATGCAGTAAGTAAATAAAATTTTTGGAAAAACATTTGCTTAAATTAAACTGAGATGTGTAAGAAATGTAACATGTCAAACAGAACAAATTGATTGGGACGAGTTAGACGAATATCCGGACCTGCAAGAATGAATGGTATTGGAGTGCTGGAAATTTCAACTGGCCTGTTTCAAAAAGTAAGTTAGAAGTGCTCATCTTCTTAATTTCTTTTCCATATTAAAAATCTTCCTTCTTATAAATGGAATTATCTGTCTAGCATTTGATTTAAAATGCCTTGTAAGAGGGAGGGTGAAGAGGGGTGGAGACTACGGTTGAGACACAAGCAGTATGTGGGTAATGGCCAATGCTGCGGACGGGGCCTTGGGGTTCATGACACTATTCTAATAAAAACTGTCTTTAAACCCTCCTCAGAATGCCTGCTTTTCTAGACAAAGTAGAAATGTCTACTAATACTTTCTTTTCTGTTCAGATGTTCAGAAGAAGAGGCATGATAAGTACTTTTTCTAAGGAAATGATCATTTCTTTTCCCAGTACCATCTTCAGATCTTTTTTTTTAATTGAACTTATTGGGGTGACATTGGTTAATAAAATGATATAGGTTTCAGGTGTACAGTTCTATAATACATCATCTGTATATTGTGTGTTCACCACCCCAAGTCAAGTCTCCTTACATCGCCATTTATGCCCTTTACTCTCTTCTACCCTCTCCCCACCCTGCTTTCCCCCATCTTCAAATCTTAGAAGTGCAGCGGAGAATGAATTACTCACTTACCTTCCTACGATGGTACTAACTTACAAAACGAGAACCTAAACAATTTGAATTTCATAAATCGAAGGTTTTGGTGGGTTTATTAAGATTCAATCTTTGTGTTTTAAGTACTTTAAAATGATACCTTTTTTTATATGTGCAACTTTACAGACCTGGGTCTATTTAACAGATCTGAAGGCAGTCACATTGCAATTGCTAGGAGCCTCAAACAATGCTTGCTTGCTCTCTCCATACACGAACAAAAATGCTAGTCATTTTATTTTGCTACTTATTTCTTCTGTGAATAGAAGAAATATGTGTGAAAGAGTTTAGCAAATTCTGGTACTGATGGAGAAGAAAGACCTAAAACCTTTGAAGTAGTTATTATTTTAAACTGGATTTTTATGTTGTCAATAACAGAAGCATCGTTTTAACAAAGGAAATATATAAAAGCTTTTCGCTGAGTGCGCAGTACTTATAAGAAATGCAGGACTGTGCTTCTGCATCACTCTGGAAAATAATTACCATATTTTCCTGAGACAGATGGGAAGGCAGTAGTGAGACACCTGGGTATTTTCTTTCTTCTGCTACAGCTCTGACAGGTATTGAGGGAACTGTAACCGATGCTCTTGAGACAGAGGAAAATGTAAAAGGAGGTCTCAGTTGCAGTTGCAACAAAGGAAATCCAAAGGAATTCTGAGGGGACAACTCAAGGGGCTCTGGCTTAACATCAAATGCTTTTTCTGGTTTTATAAATATGGAAGAGTCCTGCTGAGGTGTCACAGTTTCTTGTCCAACATACTGATCCAAGTTCAGGTGCTTAGGGGTTTCTGTCATTACAGTTTCCACCCCTTTCTTCTGATCAACGGCCTTTTGCTCGGCCTCGGTATTACAGTGGCTCAAATTCGAAGGGGACACTGAAGTTGTGTGCATCACTCTTGCCGGCAAAGGTGGCTGGCAGGAGTCAGGTCCCCACGCCTCTCTGGGCTGTGGCAGACACCTGTGGGGAACTGGCGGAGCTCTTTCTCCCTGGAAAAAGAGGGGCTTAAATCCATGCCTAGGCTGGAACTGAAGCAAATGAAAACCGTCACCAGGCCTGGAAGTCATAGCCGGGAGAAGTCTAGGTATCTTCGGAAGGGCAGAAGAAGTGGACAGGGGGTGGAGGTGAGTACTTCCAGCAGGGGCTGGGGGAAATAAAGCAGCTGGGAAGCTTGCAGATGCTGTGAGCAGTCCGCTATTCTGGGGTTGACCTTCTAATACGCAAGGAATACTCCCATGTGGAACACTCTGGAAGAGAAAAAAGGTACTATGTAAGTTGAGAATGTTTTACAAACTTCTTATTTTGTAAATGATGTTCAATATGTTTTTGGAGGGGGTGGGATGTAGTAACTGCCAAAAATGTTATTACTCAAATAACGGAACTCCTAAGACACCTTTCATGGTATTGTGAATGTGTTACCTGTGAATTTTCATGACTCTGATCGGACTGCACAGCTCCTGTTAGGCAGGGGGCACTCTTCTTGCTGGGCTCTCTGGCTTGCTCTCCTGTGGACTGTGGTTTAATGAGCAACGTCTCCTTCGGATCTCCCCTGGTGTCTTCAACACCACCACTCCCTTCTGTGGGGTTTGATACTTGGCTTCCCACCAAATGCACAGACTGAGGCTGCTGTGCAAGTCGATGTATGTCCGGGAGGTTAGTAAAAGGCAACCCTACTATTTGCATTAGACTGAGGAAGTTGATCTGTTGCAGCTACAATAAAATAACAATTAAAGAAACATTTGAGAATATAATAAAAAAAATTTGAAGAATCAACAGCGATCAGCTGAGTTGTCCACCCCAGTCATACCTTCGTCTCAGTATCTGTGAAACCCATGAGTGCTGAAGTAGGAAGCACAGCTGGTAGAGGTTTTTGTAAAAAGAGGAAAGGACTAGCTTCCTGTCTTCAAGGCGCTGTCAGCTGGGACTGTGAACTCATGAATGGGATTTGGGACTACTTGTAAAGCAGTTTGCATAAATATCCCAGGGACCATAAAGGAGCTATCTAATGGAGCAGACAAGGGTAATTAAAAGAATAATTCCTAAAATGGGTGTGTGAGAGCAGGTTTTCAGGAAAGAAAATAGCAGCAGTCAGCAGACAGGTAAAGGATGAGGAGTCCCAGAGGAAGGGCTGGCTGGGCAAAAGGTGAGAGCACACCACTGGCTGATAAACCTCGCTGCACCTGAGAATCACCTGAGCAGCATTAAATCCCAATGGCCAGGCCACACCCCACCCAATAGAATCAGGATATCTGGGGGTGAGAGCCAGGATTATATGCTTTAGGATGGCCAGGTGGCTTTTTCCAACCTGGGCCCAGCAGAGTGGCTGCAGCGAAGAGGGTGGTGAGAAGAAGGACCGTTCTGCCATGGACCAGGTTGTGACCAGAGGACACACCATCAACATCAACAGGCACATCCGTGGAGTGGGGTTTAAGAAGCGTGCCCCTTGGGCACTCAGAGCTCCAGAATTTGCCAGGAAGGAGATGGGACTCCAGATGTGCGCAGTGACACCAGGCTCAACAGAGCTGCCTGGGCCAGAGGAATAAGGAATGTCCCATACGGTACCCAGGTGTGGGTGTCCAGACAACATGAGGAGGATGACGATTCACCAAACGTGCACTATCTATTGATCACTCGCATGCCCGCCACCACTTTCAAAAGTCACCAGGCAGTGAATGTGGACTAGAACTGCTCATTGCTCAATCCAGTTGTTTAAAGGAAAGATCACCAGGTGATTTCAATGTGCAGAAAGGCCTGGGACCCACTGGCACACAGGCTGAGATGGACCAGGAAATCCACAGCCGCCGCGGTGAGAGGCAGGTTAGTGCAGTGGCTCTCAAACGGCGCCAGAATCACCTGGAACCTGTCACAGACTCTGCTCTGGCCCCATCCCCAGAGTCACTAATTCAACAGGTCTGGGATGGGGGCCTCGGAATTTGTATTTCTAACATCTAAGTGATGCTGATATTACTGGTGCAGGGACCACACTATGAGAACCAACAGGCCTGTGAGAGGATAGAAGGAAAAGAGGGAAGGTAAAAGCTGGTTGTGGGTCTTTTCAAGCCCAATAGAAGAATTTGCACTTCGTAAAACAAACCAACAGAGAAGCACTGCAGGTTAAAAACATGTAGTTCCCTTCAATTGTAAAATGCATGCATGCTTAGTACAGGAAAAAAAACACAGAAAAGTAAAAATCATTCATCATCCTATCCCCAGAGACAACCGGTACTGACAGTTTTTGTGTATTTCACTATTTGTATTTTAAAATCAACTAATATACAATTTTGTACCTGAAATTTAAACAGGAAAATGTAGTAGTAAAACCGCATCTGAAGAAGAATGTCCTAGAAAATGCACATATAAGATACTAGAAGCATGAAGTGCTATACTCTCTCTAAGGCTGGTGACAGCTACAGAAATAGCAGGTAGCTGTACTGACATGTGGGCAAAGATATCAAGAGGGCACCACCCAAAACACTGCTACAGGTGGAGAAGGCAGGCAGGGATGACTCTTGGGGACAGTGGTTCTTAACCCTTGTAAGCATCCAAATTATTTGCAGAATTGGTTAAATCTATAGGGCAGTGACCAGCAAAGTCCCTACATAATTCAAAAGACAAGTTTGAGAAAAGCTTCTAAAACTTTAAGCTGTTAAAACAGGGATGTTATTAAATGGAAAAGGAAAAGGAACTAGGAGAGTAAGAATTAAATCAAAGTCAGTAGTTTCATGGGACCGTGGAACATGCAGAAAAAGTATTCTCATCAGGGCCCCTAAGTTCAAAGACATCAAGAATCAGCAATAAAAAAGGTACATTATATTATATCGCATGAGTAGAGGATTAGATATGAGGGAAATGAGCGTTCAAGGAATAAGCAGGAAAGGAAGACGATTTTTAAATGTTGGCAGACAGATAAAAGGATGCTTGGGCAAGAACAAGACGATGGAAGTCAAGGTGAAAAGTATTTCCAAACACAGCTGGCAGTTCCAAAACCAGCCAGGATTCGGTTTGCGGATGGGAATGACAATGTGGCAGGCTGTGTGAGAAAATAAACTCGGGATACCTCTGAGCAGGAGTCTGCTCGGCAAGTCTGATCATCACACCTCTGCTCGCAAAATGCTCAGTAAAGAGAAGTCACGTGAGATTCTCGGCCCTACAGTTCTGAACTTCTGAATGACATGGTGCCCAAAGCAGAGAAACCAGGCAGTTTAATTTCAATGTGTCCACTTCTGGAAGTTTGCTCATATTTAAAAACCTTACATACAGCTCATGTAGATTTACATATTTGTATGGAGACGTGCTTACCTGAACTAATTTAAACATTTCATCTTGGAGCATCTGCCTAACAGAGTCGACAGAGTCTGGTAACTGTGCCCTGGGCTCGTTGCTCTGCGTCTGCTGGGCGGCTGGTAGAGGGGTCTGTGAAGCAACATTGATTCCATTCGACACCAAAGGCGGATCTGAGGACGATTTCTCTTTAACTGCAGAGATCTGAGCACTACACGTGGAAGCATATCAATACAATTCACACATTAATCAATAAAAAAACAAATGAGATGTCTATAATCTGAATATTTGGATCCTACTTTTTTCTTCTACTTTAAGGGCTTTCTGAAAGTTTTCAGAGAATTTAATCCTTAATGCCTGTCTCTCTGTACCCTCACATCTTTCACCCACCAGACACATTGGTCATCGGCAGTTATCCAACTCAGTGCCTTCTTTAAGAGAATCTGTGCTGTCTGGTCAGCCATGGCCCCTCCCCTGGCCCTGCAACCCAGACAGTTCACACAGGTGTCTTACTTGCCTGGTCCCTGCAGGCATGTGAGTTTGAAACCTGTGCAATCATTCTAATAAGCTGTACATACTATATTAATTTAGTTTAAAAAGATGTGGTTTTTTGTTTTTATTTTTTACTAGATTTAATGACCCAGAATGGAGTTAATAGGGAATGTATGGGTTAAAAAATGTGTAATTCTAAGATGGCTACAGCAAACTTCCACTGATTATCATCAAATGTCAAACAACAGTATTATGAACTTTTCATTTTCAAACAAATCACAGAGTTTATCTTTATAATTAAACCCTAATCAACAAAAGATCAAAGTATGTTTTTTACTTTTTTAAGTAAAACGATTATTTGGGGATGACTTCTTAAACATAGCAGGTACTCAATGTTTTCTAAGAAAATCAATTTCATAAAGTAAATAAGGGAGCAGGCATTATCTTATCCAAATAAATTGGTCATTGTCTCTTAAAAGAAAACAACGTATTCAGTTGCATTTAGATTTATTTGGGCTTCCTCTCATTTCCTTTCAGCAGTATTTGCCTTTTATCAAACATCTAAGGTACTCAGGGACAAAACTTTATTTGGCAAATCCACAAAAAACAGGCATTACAACTGACTTGCCTGTTTTAAGGCAACATCGCTAGCTCCTGCTTTCAACAAGTAGCAAAGAGATAAATTCTAATTATGGAGAATTTTTCTAAAGTAAAGCTGTGCTACTGTCCTCCTTTCCAGAAAAATTTGTAAATGCTGAACACTGCTCAACCTCCACGAAGATTCAAACGGCAGAGCTGGATGAGTCTGTTCGACAAGAGTTAAAAGCATTTTATGTACTACTAGAAATCTGTTAGAGGCTGAAAATGAACAACCACATCTTTCAATAATATAGCCACCACCGTTTTCAGAAGAGCCTGTTCTAAAATAGTTCCTATATGTCTTTAAAACACACCTGTTAGAGGCAAATCTTTCAGTAATAAACTTCAAGGTGTCCGAAATGTGTACCTGTGTCACTTTTTCAATGCTCATGTTGCTTTCATTTTAGTCTTGGTTTTGATGAATACGTTTAGTAATTATTTCAAAATGGTACGTAGTCATCATTTCATTCTCTTGTCTATTTATAAAACAGGATAAAATGGTATACTATGTACAAATCCTTACCTAGAAATTTCTGAACTTGTGTCTACACAAAGTGAATGAGGAATGGTGTGCTCCGGATTTGAAAAGGCTTCGATCATACTACAATTAAAGATTAATAGTCGATTAGGAACCAAGATATTCTTCACATTATCTAAGAGATAGGTCACTTACTGCACAGCCATCTCAGAGTCTAAACATCCTCTAATTAATCCTCTGTAATGTTAGCTCATAATTACAATCTATTTACATTTGTCGCCATGGCAATTAGTAACAGAGTCAAACAAAAGCAAAGAATATGTCTGGATGGCTTAACGTAACGACTTGGACACTGTTGACTGCTCAGCAGCAGAAATAAAAAAATCTCCAATGAGGGTGGAGAGATGAGGTTAGCTGGGACCTCAAGTTTCACTTACGCAAGAGGCTGGCCCTTTGCTCAGAACACTAGAGCCATCCTCACATTCGAAACTGTAAAGACTAGATCATTATTAATGCAAATATCTATATGACTTGTAAAGGTACATGACATGAAATATATTCTTTTTGTTAATCTGTATGTTGAGAAGAGAAAGAAAATCTATGTTGCCTCTCTTATGCATAGTAATTCTAAAATTTCAAAAATTGGGCTCTCCTTTATACAACAAACTGGCAAGCAGAGTATAAGTACACCACAGCCTTATGAACAGTGTACAATAATTAAACCATGATGGTGACAGACTACATATAAAATGATTCATAATGGTTCATTTGATCCAATGAAAATGGAATCAGTATGGAAGGGTGGCTCTCTAATTAGCTGCAAATAAACCCTGGTCTATGTACAGCTAAATTTTATTTTGATAAGGCTGAGAGTGATAAGAGAACAAAAGGCTACATATCGTTATTATTTCCCTCTACTGAGATTTAAGAATATAATGTTTATTAAAAATCATTTACCACTGCTATAAACTGAAGTTACAATTTCACCAGGAACACAATATTACTATAAAGTATATATTGTACATGACAAGAAACAAAATCTTTTCATCAGCTGAAACCCGGATGAGCCTTGGGAGCCTTACGCCCTGCTCACTGCGGGTAAGCAAGGCGGTTACCATGGCCTTCATCTTGACCCCCTTACCCATCCTGTTCCGCTGATTTTTCCTCAATGCCTGTCTCCAGCGGTTCTTCCTGGGGACGCTGAACCTCCCCCGTGGCATGCTGTTAAAATCAACAGCACCCAAAAAGAAAAGAGGGGAAATAAACAGGTATTACTGTCTTAGGTATCTTGAGTTTGACATTAGACACTCAGCCAGAGCAGTAACAGTTTCAAAGCCGGTAAGAAACCAAAACAGTACACGTAGGCTGGGTCCTGCTCTGACCAGATCTTACACTGCTTCTGGCTGAGCTGCTTCCTGGCCCGTCCCCGAGCCACTGAGCATATTAAAGTACCGTGTCTTTACAAATACGTGTATATACAGCCATCACTGCATAAGTACATTGTGAGAGCAATGATCAAGTCAGGAAAAACTAATCCTTTTTAAAGGAACTGTTTCAATAATTAGAAATGTCTGCATTTCACCTGAAATCCAGTGTCTACAGTTTTGAGAAAACAAATAGTACATAAAAGTGCACATCTGTGCAAAAACTGCACACTACAGCAGAATTATATATTTTGAGTAAAGAATATCTTCATCACTCCTGACTATGTTAATTTGCTACACAGTTTATGAAATGCACCTTTCAATGCCTGAAATTAGAAGACATCTTGCTAGTGACAGAATTTCAGTGAAAGAAAACGCTGCAGGACACATGACACTACAAACCACAGTGTGCTTCTAGGAGACAATGGCCTTGGTTGGGTGTCTTAAGTAAAAACACATAAGTATAATTTAAGTACTTTTATCCACTCTTTGTTGACTTACTTCTAAATGCCCTGGTAACGTCTGCATGTGAATGGCAACACTGGGACTTTGGGGACTTCCAGCAGGTCCTCTGGCTTCTTCTATAGGGAAACAAAGAGGGAGAGAAAACTGACCATTTGAAAAATGATCACTTTACTTTTTAGATGGTTCAGGAGTATTACAGGAAAAATATAATGGCAGGAATATTTTAGACTCCTTATAGAAGCATTTTTAAAAACACCTGGAGACAACCTCTCTTCATCAAGTCATCTGAGATAAGCCCTAAGAGGCCTCACTCGGTGTGTACAACTCCTCAGAAAGCACCAAGATTTCTGGGTTAAGATGGCCAAGGAAAAGTTCACAGAACTGGTTCAGAGAAAAAGGCCCACAGCAATTACAAAAGCAAGGCATATGGCCTAATAAATCCAGGTTATAGGTTAATGTGTTCAACTTTTCATAAATATTGAATTGTTTTCATTTTTGGTTTTAGGCTACTATAAAAATACTAATTTAGATAAGACTCAGTAAGTTACCACAGATAAGCATTCACCAATTTCAAATTAATAAAGCCAAACAAAACGATTAGCCCAATAAACTGACCTTCATGGTCTGACAGGCATGTATCTATCACCTTCTGGGTTAACATTTCTACTCCTAGAAGATCCTCATCGATGTCTATAAATTCTTTTCCAGTATCATCAGTGACAGAAATGACCTCATCATTGGTTTCTTTTATTTCAGGAGTTTTGGCTTCAGGTGGCTTTCTATTGACAAAAATGAAGCAGCTCAGTTATAACTCAATCATGGAAACAAAGAGCTTGCTCGCAACTGATTTGATTTATTGAAAAAGAACAAACTTAGTTTTTATAAAGTCTTTTGTTTTTTAACTTTGTCTGGTCCACAGTAAAAGCTTAATAAAAAATTGTTCAATGAATGACTAAACATCCGTTTTTATTTACTCAAAAGATTGGACTAATTTCAACTTATCTAAATTTGCAGGTCTCCCTGCTCTAAAGGCTTCAGCCTTGGGATTTAAAGATAGATCACTCATCACACGGCTTCACATGTGAACATGGATGATTCATTCAACTTCCTCTGACATAGGAAATCAATTGATATAACGATGGACCGCTCGGGATGAATTAGCTCCTCTCTCAGAAGGTAAGAGGTAGACTAACAGAGAAGAAGCATAATCTGCAATGAATTGTTAAAGCACTTCGGAAAGTGCTCACTGCCTGGTTCTCTAATGCAAAGAAAGGCTTCCTCCTTTAACTCCCTTCAAGTTTTCCCTTTAAGCCCAAACCCATCAAACATGGTATCGTCCACTGAAAAGAAGGCAGTAATCTAATCAGCACTTACTTCAAGACACTCTGACCAGACTCACTGTGGTCATCTCCCTCCTCAGGCCCACCTGGCGTGGATCCTGCCTCAGAGCAGCCGGCACCTGTCCTGCACTCACCCTCCACGTGAGGTCCACTCTGAGGCCCAGTGTGAGGATGTTCTCGCACCTGAAACAGCCATTTGTGGTAGTTAGATTTCATTATTGAATCCCATGCTTTTCACTATGTCTTTACACTGTTTATTCTTCCTCCAGAGCCTCTCCTGGTTAAGTTTCTTAGTCCTTTGTCAGGTACAGAGTGCACATCTCCAGCTCAGAATCCAATGCTGAAGCAATGATCAAGTCTCTATTCCACCTGGAACAAACCTGACTCCCTAAGTAGTATTCACAAGAAACCAGCCTTACAAATGTGTGAGGTGTATCACCAATGGTGTTAGGCCACCGGACAAGAGCAATAAAAACACAAAGTTGCTTTTACATCATTATTTTTGCTATGATAAAGACATGTAGTAATTATTGCAAAATGACATAGTAGGCAAAAATATATACAGCTAAAAATACAATGGATGAAAATCTTTCATCTCTTAGATAGTTAGGTACCCACTACCTACAAACACAAATTTCAGTAACAAATATCACAGTATCTTATGACTTTAGGATTACAAAAATGGATCTAAAAAAAAAAAAACTACAAAAACAAACAAACACACCACCTCATAAAAAATAACTCACACACACACTCACACATACACTCACACTCCCTTCATCCTAGGATAAACTTTTTTTAAAAATATATCTTTATTGATTTCAGAGAGGAAGGGAGAGGGAGAGAGAGATAAACATCAATGGTGAGAAAGTCATTGATCGGCTGCCTCCTGCACGCCCCCCTGCTGGGGATCGAGCCTGACAGGGAATCGAATCAAGATCTCCTGGATCATAGGTTGATGCTCAATCACTGAGACACGCCGGCCAGGCAGAATAAATTATTTTTGAATGAATATACTTTAAAATAGAACAAATGTAGAATGAGACTATGGAGGGGGGTCAACCAAGATGGTGATGGGAGACTCCTGAGCTCCCCTTCTCCCATGGACACGAAATGTACGACTACACACACAGCAACTACCTCTGAAAGAAACTCAGAAACCAGCCGACTCCTGTACCTGAGGCAAAGGAGAAAATACCCACCCTGACAGGCAGGAAAGGCTGAGACTCTCATCACACACCCGCCCAGGCTCAGGCCTTCCTCCCGGCTTCTCTCTAGGCACAGTTTGGACCCCACACTTAACATCCCAACATTTAAGACTCCCACTTGAGGAACAGGACCCTAGAACACCTCTCTGTGCATGTCAATGAGAACTGCACCCATGGACCCATAGCAAAGGGAGCAGCAGATTCAGCAGTTGCGGGAGCCCTCGCTGCAGCTACGCCCCCAGGGCTCAACCCAGAGGCAGGCAGGCCCCTACCTCCCCATCTGCTCCTGGAAGGAGCCCACTGTACACTTTGAAAGTTGCACCTGAGGGTGAAGCACTTCTACTGTCGCCATATACCGGGCCCAGTTCAGGGGAGCAGGCAGACACCCACCCGTCTCCCAGCTTCTCCACAGAAGGGCCTTAACCACAGACTGACACATGCTGTCTGAGGGCCTGCCTCCCAGTCAACCAGCATCTCAGTGATAAATGTGACCCACTCCATGGGACACTGAGGGGTCTCACACTGAGGGGTCTCGGTAGACCCTCAACTTAGAGCCACTAGAACAAAGGAGGCGGCTCAGACGGCCACAGAGGTTTCAGACGACCAGAGGCTTGAGCCGGGTGGACTGACAAGATGAATCTCCTACACAAGCCCACTCTGTTCTGAAGGGAGAGGCACTGTTTCATCTCATGTTTGGAAACCAATAGAGGCAAGCAAAGCGAGGAAACACAGGAACGTGCTCTCAACAGTAAGCAAGGTCGACCTCCAGAGACAGATTGTGTGACACCACTTAGAGTTACTTTCATCTTCCTTTTTTTTTTTTTAAATATATCTTTATTGATTTCAGAGAGAGGAAAGGAGAGGGGGAGAGAGAGGTAGAAACATCAATGATGAGTCATTGATCGAGCCTGCTTCCTTCTTTTTATAAACACACAGACCTCAAAATCTCACAGCCTCTATGAAAGTACTTTTACCCCAAGTAATGACTTTTAAGACTTAAAGGAACCACTTGAAGAAAAAAAATTAGGTGATTATAATCAAGAATCAGATTACAAACAATCTTGTCATTAACTTAGTTTCTTAGTGGTCCTTCAGTACAAGGGGAAATGTAAATACAGTTTTAATCTAAGAAGAGAATTCTTATTTGTATGTAATAAACCACTCAAGCACTTACTTTAATAATGGCATTTTTTGCCTTATATGTAGCAAAATAGGGTTGTTCCAAAAGCCACAGTGATGTCAGAATGGCAGCCGCAGAGGTCCTCACACGAATGACAGGACAGGACTCAGAGGCCAGCTTGGTGAGACCGGGATCACAGGGCAGCCTGCGATCGGCCCATCTTACCATCCACTCCAGCAGCCTTCTCAGGCCGCCCAGTGTGTGACTCAGCGCTGGGGGGAGCTCTTCTTGAGGGTTAACATCACTGCACTGAATTGCTCTGAAAATACATCTTCTACTTTTAATGGACTTGGGAGCCCACAGACTATGGTTCGACAATCTCTGCATGAAAAGTTTGTCTGCGTTGTCATCTTGTGTCCTATAAACTGACTTTTGTTTTAAACCGAACAATCCACTCTTCCCCTCATTTTTATCAATATCATTCAGAGGGTTCTCTGAAGGAGGTCTGGTCCCTTGACTAGCCAGTCCTGAAGCTGACAGCGCAGGGCTTTCCGATTTTTCAGACTCGGGTGGCTCTGGAGCGGCCACAAAACAGGAGCCTGCTCTGAACACACTCCAGCCAAGGTTTTTGCCCTGGCATCGTTGCAAAGTTGTGTGTACATCAGAAAGTAAAGGGTTAAGTTCCTGTTCTCTAAAATGCCCAGAAAAACTCGTCAGAAATGGGATACCAGGATCCTTGGAACCAAGCAGGTCTCTTTCGAGAACATAACTCAGGAAGAGATCAAGGAACTTCACATATTCATCATCATCACGTTCAAATTCCCAGGCACCTACTACAGGACACACGTTTTGTAGTAACTTCCCATGATCTTCTCTTCTTTTAGGGTTTTCTTTCTGATCACCTGTTTTCTTTTTATCATGGGCCTTAGCAATCGATGTGGATTCCATGTGATTTGGAGCATTTCTACAGCAAAACAAAATTAGAAAAGACAAAATTAAGGATCACTGAATCACTAAAACTTATCTTAAAATTGACAATAAAAATTCTCTCCACTAACTCATATGTCTTTTTTTAATGCCTTGATTACCTATCTTTCCAATGAGGGGGTTGGGCTAAACGATCTCTGAGTGTTCACGAGAGCCGAACACTCTGAATCTAAAAACATACCACACATTAACATTAAAAAGGAAAATCTGTGTTAAAACATATTCACAGAAAATCTCCCGATTAGAAAATATTTTCTGGGCAGAGGGAGAGCCCTCTAATAGGTCAGACTACAAAGACAGTAAACATCACCCGGCACCAATACACCCCTTGGTCTGTGGTTTCTTGTTTCTCTTGCATCTGCCCCTCAGGGCCTGTACAATGTGCTGGAACAGGCAGGACTGCCCTCAAGACTCCTGTCCACACAAGAGGTAGGAAGTTTTTGTGTGTGTGTGTTTTAAAATATGGCTATTCATTTCAGAAAATGGGAGGGAGAGGGAGAGAGAGAGAAACATCAATGATGAGAGTCACTGATTGGCTGCCTCCTGCACGTCCCCTACGGGGGATTGAGCCCAAAACCTGAGCGTGTGCCCTGACTGGGAATCGAACCTTGATCGCCTGGATCATAGGTTGATGCTCAACCACTGAGCCACACCGGCCAGGCAAAAGGTGGGAAGTTTTAAACACTCTCTACTGCTATTAAACCTGTGGGGCAGGCACCTTAACTGCCAACCATAATTATTTTAAACCTGTTTTCTTTCAACATGGTCCTTAGGGCAGAACATAGACCCTAGTTCCTGGACGAGAAATCAAAGGATCCTGCTGAGCACTGGGCTAAAGTCGCCATGTCTGTGTCTCTCCTTACAGAAAATGCACAGCACGCAGCCTCCGGGGTTGTGCTCTGCTGACACAGACGCCATTTGGTAGAACAAGCCCACCACTTACACTATGGTTCAGGCAGATGTCTGAAGATGGGATTACTTCACTTAAGCAAGGTTAGGGTTGATTATGTAGTCTTTCGGTCAGAAGGATAAATTACATTTCAGATACCAGAATTAGAAAGAAAAAAGTCTGCTTAAATGAGAGTAACAGAGGTTTAAATGATAGGCAAGAATCTTTCAACAATTTAGGGGCAGTTTCAAAAGTGAATGTGCAATGTCCTTCCTTGAAAACTGAAAAAATAATATTGCTAACTCAGTAATCCTCAACTATTTAAGTCTAAAGATTACTAAAAGAACTAAAAGTCCTTCAGTAAACTCTAGAATTTAATCTGCTCATTTGATTTTATACTTTCAGGGGACAGATAATTTCCTATCTCAGTAACAGTTTCAATGGATTTTCAAATGTTCAGTCTCTCTGACAGTCCTGGAATCCTTGAGGACAGAGGAAGGGTAGCACTATTAACTTACTCACATTGCTAAAAGTACCACCAGTGAGGTCGCTGGGATTGGATCAGTTCATCGGTTACATGAACATATTGAAAACATTTTTCAAAGGAAGGGAACACTTGCCATTCAGAGATCTCAACTGTACCTTTGATAGAAACATGTCCTACTTTTTTCTTCAACCGACAGGGCCTCCGAGGCGGTGTCAGCATCGCTGTGGACCAGGGACATCCCCAGGTCTGTGAGTGTGCTCCTGCTCAGACTCGTCCCCAGGGAAAGCCTGTCGAACCCGGGACCCTCAGCAGGTTTGTCTTCTTCAGCCGGTTCCCATATATTCACCTCAAAAGAACCGATGTTTCTCTGTACACGTTTGAGGGCTTTGACCCTCACTTTGTGGAAAGAATGCATGACAACAGACATCATTTCCTCTGTTTGGGGGCCTGGGAAGAAAAGAGGAAAGGCTTCCATTCCAGTTCATTAAAATGTCTCAGCTCAAGACAAGGGGCCCAATTCTGTCCCTCCTGGGGACATAAAATCCACTGACAAGAAGGCTTATTTCCGTTCTTACAGATCAGCTTTCATCAGCACTTGTTAGAAAGCTGCGGTCCATACTTTAAGGTAGAACAGCAGAAACCAGAGAAGGTCCATTGAAAAATAAAAGGGCAGAACCCAGACTAAAAAAGTGTACCTTGGGAAAAAAAAATTAAGTAATTTAAGCATCTCAGAAATCAGAAGGATGATTATAAAAAGAAACTAATATTTCTTCTATTCCCACAGAGTGGTAAATAAGAGAAAGTGAGTATAATTTTAGCCAAAGAAAAAGGACACCTTCTGACTTCAGCTAATGGGAAACAACAGGAAGGGAAGTTTTATGAGGCTGCCTATAAAAAAATTTTAGACATTAATACATAAACAAGACATTTTAGAGGATATCAAAAAAGTCTTAAGAAAAGCATAAATCACAAACACAATATAAGGATATTAATGCAATAACAGGCAATCATAGGACATAACTATTTCCACAACATGGTCAGGGCACTTAATACCACTGAACTCTACACTTAAACATACATAAAATATACCGTTTTACCACAATAAAAAATAATTTCCCCAAGGTCATCTTGAATGTACAGGATAAAATTAAAAGCATAAATAACCATAAAGATATGAAAGGAAGAATACTCATTTTCAATAAAGTATTTACATTATGCAAAGCCCTTTAGGCTCACTTTACATATTTTATCTCATTTAACCCTCTCTCAATACATACTCGTAGAGTTGGCATTAACAGTCATTTTACAAACAAGGCAATGAGGAGGAGAGGCTGAGCAGCCTGCCTGTGGTCCCATAGCTACCAAGTGACAGAGCCAGGCAAGTAGGCCAGCTCTTGTCTGGTTCCAAAGCAACAGGTGCTCCTGTGTGGGGAAGAGCCTCCGCCTGCTCCTACTCCTGTCCCCCAGGAAAGGAACATGTGCAGCACTGGGAAACCAGCGCTTTCAAAACAAACGAGGCTCTTCAGCAACTTTCCCATTGGATACCGAAGAAAAGACAGACAATACCTTTCACGACACAGTGTCTGAGTCGCTGTTGAAGGGAGTGATACTTTTCTCTCAAAGGAACCCTTACGTCCTCAGGGTTAGGAAATGCTTTCACAAAAATTTCTGCTGCCTTTAGAAAAATGAAAAAGTGAGTTTGATGAGCAACATCATTCTTGATTAAAATAAAAATCTTTTATTATTTTTTTTTTTATTTATTTTTTAAAATATATCTTTATTGATTTCAGAGAGAGGAAGGGAGAGGGAGAAAAAGAGAGATAGAAAACATCAATGATGAGAGAGTCATTGATCAGCTGTAGCCCGCAACCCAGGCATGCGCCCTGACCGGGAATCGAACCCTGATTGCCTGGATCCTAGGTCAACGCTCAATCGCCAAGCCACGGCCGGCTGGGCAAAATAAAAATCTTTTAAAGTAGAGACTATGATTTAGTTAATGCTCACCTACACTCACATTACCTTTCTGATTGGTGGCAGCTCTCCGATAAGGCTCAAAATTAGGTCCTGAATGAGTTCTTCAATATTAGAAAACCGAGAGAACGGCAGCATTCGGCAAGCCCATTCCGCTGCGCAGAGGCAGTGCTCAACCATGCAAGAATCAAACTCCACTTTGCGGTCCTACGTGGATATTGAAAAAATTCATGTCCTCTTCACTTCAGAGGGGCAGGCCAGAATAAATTCAAAGCAAAATTGTGCTACCAACAGTAAAATCTATCAAGCAATAATTTCACAAGTAATGCGTGTTCATTTTTCTTCTTCTGCAAGACACATACCTTCTTCCCCTCCACATTCTCTCTTGCTCTCTGATACTGCCTGCAACTATAGGATAACTTATCACGGACATGCAGCATCCAACACAGAGCACAGAGCTCTCGGAAGCACTCTGGATCAGGAACAAATGGGAAAGACGACTGTGAGGATGTAAGCTGATGGTACAACAATGCCACCTCTCTCTGCTTGCTACCTTTTTGTCAAGATAAATGTATTTTGTTGATTATAAAAGAAACATATGCTCATTATCAACACCTTACATAAAAGTCACAGAGGACCTTCCAGAATTTTTATGTATATTATTCTAGAATATTTCATGCATGCCAGTTGCATGAAAATATTCAAACACACATTGGTAAAGAGTACATGACTTACTCTATTTACTGGTAGTTTACTTGCTTTAAACTCTATAGTATATTGTAGATACTTTTCAAGCCAACACACAGTTGTACTTAATACTGTATACTTAATTTATTTGGAAAATCACTTATAAGTTTAAAAATTTTCAATACTAAAACATAATTTCCAACATCAAACAATTTTCTTTCTTAAAGGCAATACAAGTATATAAAGGCATATAAATTCATATTATGCTGTTTTCTTCTTTCTTCACCTGTCTTTCCATGGTGGTTACATAGTCTTTTCATTGCCAGTATTCTGTTGTAAGGAAACTTCCCCAAATCAAGTGTAAAATAGATCACTATTAATTTCTAAGCAAGCAGTTCATTGTGGACAAACCTATTGCTTGAATGGAAACTTCATCAAGCTTGTTGTCTCCAGTTGCTCCAGGTCGAAAGAATGCTATTCCCCCTATGCAGTAATTCAGCAATGACTGAGGGAAGGGACTTAGTGAAGGAAGGGACCCTTTCATCCGAATCTGAAAGTGAAGATCGACAGAATATGTTGTCAGTTGCATAAGTTAATTTTTGAGGAAACTATAAAGCAACAAGCAGCAGATAAACCACAGAGAATGAAAAACACAGCATGGTTTCTATACTATGAGGAAAACAGCCCTGCAGTCAGCTGTACTTTCAGAAACTTAGCTCACAAATTAATTTGAAGTAATTCATTAGGTTCAATCGCAAAAGAGAAAAAATGGTTTAATCAAATGACCCCTTGTCACTCAGTTATGTCTGTATAAAAAGAATTTAATGTTTTTTGTCCTTTCTCCAAAGAAAGAAATTTAAGTATCTTTCACCTAAAACAAAATGACGTGTAGTATCTAAAAACAAATACAAGAAAAGGTGGACCTAGATGCATAACTTTTGAAAAACTAATCCATAAATGACAGAATTAGAAAGTCACCACTGGCAACCCTTAATAAAATAAGACCTCTCGCAAAGATCACCAATAAATGCTAAATTTAGTAAAAAGCTGATGGTTGATGGAGAGCGTGACAGTGGGTGGGACAAGACACAAACTCATTGACCCACCTCGCAAGCACTAATTGGGGATGTACAGTCCAGCATACGGAACTTGGTCTGTCTAGGTTGCTTGTTATAAATAAATCTGACTATGGACTTATAGGGCAGGACTCCTTGGAAAAACGTCCCAGTTACCAATACTAATTCATACTAATTCATGTTAGTATGTTTAAGCAGGCTCACAGCACATAAATGACAGACTTCTGCGCACCTTCTGCATGACCTTTCTGGCCCACCTCAGCTGCAGGATGTACCACTGCGCTGCAGGGAAGGAGCAGCGCGCTGCCCGGAAGAGCAGGAGGAGCCGCTGAAGGATGCCAGACACCTTCTGGCGATTATCCTTCTCAGCTTTTAAAAGAAGATCATCACCATCTTCCTGAAGAAAAATAAAACTATCAGGATTCGTAGCCAGTAATATGAAAATTTAAAGTGTTAAAGTGAAAATAAACATAGTGCTTCTCAAACTAGAACATTCCTAGAGATTTATAAGGAAAATTGTGAGGCTTGTCCTCAGAGATTTCAGCTATAGCTACTTCTAGTATGAAGGAAACATCTCTCTCCCCTCAAACAACGTAACAGCTAAATCGACCCTAATCCCACCTCTTCCCCTATAACAGTTAAAGGCCACCACTCCTGAATCCATCAGTAGAGCGTTACAGAGAGAGCTCCTTTCAAGGAGGATGCCTTTTCCTACCTCTGTCTGGAAAAATCACTCTCATATTTCATGTCACCTCCTCTGTGACGCCCTCCCACTGTGCTACTAAGTTTTGTTTTGTTTTTAATCTTCACCTGAGGATATTTTTTCCATTGCTTGCTTCTAACCCAAAGGGTTCTTACTGATACAAAGTGATGATTAGGAGAAATCCTACCACTGAGGATTATTTTTAACAAAAAATAATAAAATGAAGAACTACTAAGGATAGTAACCACTCAAACTAATATCAGCAGGGCATATCCAAAAATATCTTAAACCTGACTTCTAATTTCCAAGCCAATATGTGGAAGACTCAGACAGGAGAGCAAAGAGGAATTACTGAGAAATACCCAAGACTATTTATTCCTTCTACTTGTAATATATTACATTTGAAATATCAAGAAATGAAATATTTTAACCTACTGAAACATAACTCTAAATATAGCAAACGAGAATGTAACTCTAAAAAAAGAAAAAACTAGATCCAGATACAAACTGCTAATACTGAAACAATGAGTAATAAAGAAACAATAGCAGAATCACTTCAAAATAGTAATCAAGCCCTGCCGGGTGTGGCTCAGTGGTTGTGAATCGACATAGGATCTAGGAGGTCGCTGTTCGATTCCCGGTCAGGGCACACGACCAGGTTGTGGGCTCGATCCCCAGTCGGGGGCATGCAGGAGGCAGCCGATCAATGACGACTCTCTCATCATTGATGTTTCTATCTCTCTCTCTCTCCCTCTCCTTTCCTCTCTCTGAAATCAATAAAGACATATTAAAAAGAAAAGAGAATTGTAAAAAAAATCAAATATTAAAATAATTAAAGTGCAAATAATGTACCTTAACACTTTAAATCATTCATCATTTTGTTACCCTAAATAAATGTCTATGCTTTTAAAGTCTGGATATAGAGAAATGTCTCTTAATTTTGTTTTATTATTGCAATAATTTTAACCTTTGTTGAATGCTATGTCCTAGGGCCTAAGGTAAAAGCTTTTACACTTAATCCTCACAATGATGCTACTGGAAGTCTTATCATCATCTGCATTTTACAGATAAGGAAACCAACAGGTAAGTACATTGTGTGAAATTATACAATTAATCAACAGCAAAGCTGGGATCCAGCAGTTTGTCTTCAGAACTTGCATTTTAACTTTATTATCAAGTTGATTGCTTTAAAAATTGGACAAAGTCAACTTTAAATTAAAAGGGTAAGCTTACTTCACTGAGAATAGCTGGCTGAGGACAATACAGTGGAGGAGCTGGAAGATACAAGCCGACGGGCACCAAGCCCCAGAGCCTCCTGCTGAAGTCCTTGGCAGAGCTTATCAGAAGCTGAAATGTCTTGGAGAGAACGTCCGCTTCAGCCATCACCGCTGCTCTCAGTACTTCCTGCACTGAACCCAACAGCAGGTTTGCATCTTCCTCTTCAATGGGATCTACAAACACAAATTAGGTAAAATAATTAAAATTGATTACACTTCTCGTTCTGTTTTGTAGGATAAAATTTCATATCTAAAAAAGCTGATCGTCAAAAATAACTATATTGCCCTGGCTGACGTCGTTCAGTTGGTCGGAGCATCGTCCCATGCACTGGAAAGTTTTCAGTCAGAACTCCAGGTATTATGAGTTCTTTCCAGAAAGAGAAGTTATACGTTCTAGGGATCCAGAGCTAGAAGTGTTGCTCCTCAATGCAGACAAGTTCTAATAAAACCAGAGGGTCCACTGTAGACTTGGTTTTATCACTAAATATACAACTTTAAAGAACTGACTTCATTACTTTTGTCTACATTTCTCCATCTATAAAAGACAAATTTTATAGGGCTCCTGGGTAAATATATGTACCATATGCATTATTACATTATTGTTAATTTTTCAATACCACATTAAACTTTTCAGATTAAAAACAAAACCATCTCTATGATTTATGTGCAAGGCAAGCGTTGAGCTAAATACTTGTAAGTACCCTTCTGAGCTGGAGATTCTGCGATGCTGTGACTGCAGAAGGAAATAATGTGAATGCAGGAGCACAACTAGCATAGGGTGTTCATGGAAACCAGACTATCATTCAGTTACTGACCTTGCATTTCGAGCCGGCATCAGTTCTGGGCACTCACATGATTAAGAATAAATAGCAGACTTCTATTTTCAATAAGCTTACTTCAAAGTGTCAATATATTTGTGAGTATTTACAAGCTTTTTGAAATCCCATAAGGTTTGTATTCATTAATCAGAGACATGTATTAGACCTGTGTGGGGAACGCACCTGTGAATTTTTTGTATTTTGAACCCATTTCCGTTTTGGCTTCCAAAGAGGCTGGCCGACCTAGAAAACACTGGAGCTTTTCCTGGAAAATCTGCACTGGAGTCACACTGAATGGCAGATTCTGACCCTTTTTCTTCAACCTGAAATCATATCAAATTAGGAGAAATGATTCCAAATTTTGAAAAAAGCAAATATTTGCATATCAAGAACTAAACATGAAGTTTGAGGAACAGTAAAATTCGCTTTCTTTATTCATCTTTTTTAATCCTCACTGGAGGCTATATTTCCCATTGCTTTTCAGAGAGAGAGAGAGAGAGAGAGAGAAAAACACTGATGTGAGTGAGACACATGGATTGGTTGCCTCCTGCACACGGGATCGAGCCTGGAACCATGGTACTTGCCCTTGACTGGAATTGAACCTGAGACTCTTCAATCTGTGGGCCAATGCTATAACCACTGAGCAACCGGTTAGGGCTCATCCTATATTTAAGATAGAAATAATCAGGAAACACTGCAGTAAAGGAGAAGATTAAAGCTCCATGATCGCGGCATTAAACCATCTCCCACCCTCACTTCCCTCTGCTGCCGTACAAATGTGCTCTATCCAAACTGAACCAGACTTGGTTTTTGCCAAATCTTCCCTTCAGTGCCCATCTCAAATTACAGCTCCCACACGGAATATTTCCGACCTTCCCCCACATGGGATGCTACTCTCCCCACCGCGCCACTGGCCTTTCTTACCATGGCCTGTAAATTATAACAACGTGGTGCCCTGTTTTCTCTATAAAATTATAAATACCTTAAGCATAGAAACTATGAACCATTTAAGTTTATGTCCACAAATATACCTGGTATATAGATAGGTACAGAGAGGTTACTTAATAAGTAAATGCATGTTTAATTATTGAAGAATATAAAAGACACATCATAGCATCCAGAAAAGTTAAAATATAGAAATTAGTTTGATTAGCTTAAGACTCAAATCCTATTTGGGATGGACAAGCTCTCCCATTGACTATAAGCTCTTTGAGGGCATTACTAACAAATTAAATGTTCTAAAGAAACGTTTTAATACAAATAAGTAAGCCACTGAGCTGTCCAACACAGTACCCACTAGCTGTATATAGCTATTTAAATTTAAATTAATTAAAATTAGATTGGAAATTCAGCTCCTTGGCCTTACTGCCACATCGAAGTGCTCAGTGGCTGTGCGTGGCTGGAAGAGCATGCTGAAGAGCACACAGAACACTTCCATCACTGAGCGAAGTTCTACTGGACAACGCTGAACGGAATTCCACAGAATGGGTAAGAGAGGAACAGAAAATTCTTTAGATGACACTATTACTCTATTTCTTACATCTGCCTGAAAATGCCTACCTTGTGGAACTGCTCTCCAGTCTGCAGAACAGCTGGAAGGCCACGCCAATGGACACGGAGATCTTCCAGTCTCCAAGTTTATGGGCCAGCCATACTGCTTCCGGAACGAGGCCACCAATAAGTAACAATTCCAGGGCATATTCCACAGTCCACACATTGGAAAGGTTCTGATCTCTAACAACCCTGGCCACCTTAGAGTGCTGCAGAGGAATAAATCTCAGGGAATGCTCTGTGAGGGAATGAAGGAAAATGGCTATTACAGCTACACATATCAGAACTCACACTCCTTCCATAGATACACCTAACTCTTCAGCCAGTATTTTCTAAGCAAAACCCCAAAAAGGAAGATGCATACAAAATGGGCTGAAATACTACCTCACATACTCTCGATAATTGCTTTTAACATGGAAGAATGTGCTCTTAGTGGGTCACGGAGCAAGTGCCAGCACCCTTAAAGCATGAAACAGAACAGAGTAGAAGCAGAAACAGACACAGGGAGAGTGCATTACACAAAATCAAGGTAAAGAGTTTAAGAACACTTTTGTGTCAGATGATATAAACAGAGGTACACACATTTAAATGTCCTGGGTCACAGTGTACAATTTATTACTGTTTCTATTTCTCCTAGTAGACTATGAACTCTGGAAGGCAGAGAGGGAATTTCATCTGACCCTGTATTGCTCATAACGTCATGCAATAAAAAACATATTTGAGGTAATACTTGAGCATATTGTTTAATATATCAGTGTTGTCTAAGAAAGTTGAGAAGTATAGTTTTCAATACTCCTGACCAATTACATATCTGGCCTGGGATTAAATACAAAGGGTAACATCCGTCTCCCAGGCTTTCTGTACCTTTTCCCTAACTAAAGTAACTTGAATCAGCAACTTCAAAATACGATGACAGAGCTATTATTTTTGTAAAAATGCATATACCTAAGATTTTCACTCCCTCACAGTAAAACTGGTAAATGTGGGCAGCCAATCGATGTTTCTCTCTCTTCCCCTCGCCCTTCCTTTCCCTCTAAAATAAAAACATTTTTTTTAAAAAGTAAACTATCCAAATAAAATTAAGTTCTAAATTAGCATACTCAAAATTTAATTTTTATATAAATGAAGGTGGCAGCCCTTTTACTTTAAAAATGAAAACTTTATAAATACAAACTTGTCCAAAATTTGTGATTAAAAAAATCCATATTCAATAAAAACAAACCCCAGCAATTACCTTTCTCAGACTTTATTCATTCACAGTCACTGAGCATCTCCTGTGTGTCAGGCACTAAGCTGTAACAGTGTTATTTCATAGAATAATGATTGCTACCATATTATTATTTTAAATATTATGAGCAGAAACAAGGTGAGAAAATTATTTATTTACTATGTTACCTGTTTTAATATGAAGGGGAGGAAGAATATTCACATTGTGAGGTGGCAAAATGCAGAGTCGCTGGTTGGTGAAATAGGCGGCCATGAACCGGGCCATGGACTGGATGACCCTCAGCGCCGCCTCAGGGTGAACTGGCCCAGGCATTCCCAACTCAGGAACTAAGGAACACAGCAAAGGACAACAGAGGTTCCGATCAAATCATCAAAAAGTAACAATATTTAAGTTCCCAAAATTATACAGGAAGAAAATTATAATCTTGTTTAGATGAACACCCATGGCCTGTACAATTAATTTTTGATAGGTATCTATACTTCTTGAAGACAGTGGAACAAAAATAATTAGCTCCTAAGTATAAGCCCATATACTTAGGAACTTGTTATGACTTTTAGTTATTAGTTTTATTTTAAAACATGGAGGATCTATGCAAAAAACCCAGCCACAGTGCACGTGCACGCCTGGCATTTCATTATTTTTCCTTCCCTTTCCAGTTTTGTTTTCTTTGATGAAGGCTGCAAGGCTTATTACAAAGGTCATCTGAAAGGCACCAGAACAGTGATTCTTAATGCTTCTGTCTGTACCATTAGCTCTGGGAATCTGATATACTCCTATAAGATTCTTTTGGGGGTCAGGGAGAAAAGAAAGGTTTGTGGCGGAGGTGGAGCTACAAGGAGAGGGACTTAGGTCAGGATTCCTGGGGTGATTCTGATATAAACCAACAGGAGCCAACATGTGTCATCCCTATTTGAGAATCAAAACTCAAAATACAAACAGGCATTCAGGAATTTGAGGTAGTTAAAAACTATTGTGTGTGTGTATATATATGTGTATGTGTATATATGTATAAATACTAAGTTAATGTTAACTTTTATGAAATTTATGGCCCCAACAATAGCAAAAGCCCTTCCTCCTGGAAGTCACCTGGTACACAGTCACAAGAACAGGAAGTGCTACACGAGTGGGGGCCACTTCTCCCTTATCACTGTATCCCCAGCACCTCCACTCCTCCACTCTTATAGCAGGCACTCAAAAGAATTGTAAATTTTTTTATATATTTAAAGGGGATCTTGAGAAAAGTTTATTAGCCTTGAAGCAGTATTTTTCATTTGGTCACTATAACTTTAAAAAGTCATACTATTTTTTGACATTAAAGTTAAACATACCTGGGTAAGGAGTTTTTCTCCCAGGTAAAACTTACTGTAGGAATTACACAAAGGCAAGATTTCTAATAATCTTAATCATGAAAATCCCAGGAGTAAGCCCCTTAAACAGGGAACAACCTGTTTCTAAAAGATATGGTCACAGAGTGAAACTATCAATTGAGTTAAAAAAAACACAAAAAACCTGAAAGGGTAATTCTATGTATGGTACAGTGATGGTGTTAATGACAAACTTCTGCAATAAAAATTAAATTATAACCACATACAATGATTCAGTAAGGGGAAGTGTGCAGTAAAGAGGCTACATACAGGGCCTGACTACTTGAAAGGCCTGCTCGTAAGGCTGACCCATGGCTGGCACCTGGGGACTTAGATTTGGGGAGGATTCCCACCACCTTCACTGATGACAGTGGCTCCTGGACCTAACTGTAAGCCTAACTGTACAAACAATGTGGTTTATGCTGAGCACCTGCTTTCCCTCTAAGAGCTGGTGTGGGCTAAGGGAGAGAGGCCTACCTGACCAGCCCCAGTAAAAAGGCTGGGCACTGTCTCTACAAGCTTCCCTGGTAGACAGCATCTCACACGTGTTGTCACAACTTGGGGCTGGAGGAATGAAGTGTGGTCTGTGTGACTACCAGGAGAGGATTCTTGGAAGCTCGTGCCTGGTTTCCTCTGGACTCCACCCCATGCACCTTTTCCCTGTGCTGAGTTTGCTTTGTATCCTTTCATTGTCATAAATCACAGCCAAGTGTACAACCATGTACTGGGTTCTGTGAGTCCTCCCTGTGAATTCACTGAACTTGGGGGGCTGGTTTTGGGGACCCCATCCCAGTAGGAATACACCTAATATATGCTAAACAATCAGTAAAAACTAAAACAACCCCCCCCCAGAACTTAATTATTATAGGTTCAGCTTATCTTGAAAGTTAAATTCTGTAATGACAATACTGCTAAAAAGGTGAATATCCAATCAATTAAAAAAATCACACATAGCCCTGGTCAGTTTGCTCAGTGGTTAGAAGCATCGGCCTGCGGAATGAAAGGTCCCGGGTTCGATTCCAACCAAGAGCACATACCTTGGGAGAAGGCTCAATCCTGGGCCCTGCTCGGGGCACGTGTGGGAGGCAACCAATCAATGTGTCTCTCTCACACTGATGTTTGTCTCTCTCCCCCCCTCCCCCTTTCTCTCTCTGAAAAGCAATGGGAAAAAATTATCCTCAGGCAAGGATTAAAAAAAAAAAAAAATCACACATAAAAGCCTTTTGCTCACACACAGCTAGGAGAACTTTCTGGATGTCAATTTGCCATTAAGCATCAAAAGTCTTAAGACAATGGATTCTCTTTAATCCAGTAACCTCATGTCTAGAAACTTATCCTAAAGAAATTGAGTAGCGCTCACATGAAGTTGTGGACGCTGCAGCACTATTTAAAACAGCAAACAGGTGGCAACAACCTAAAACGTGCAATAACAGGGAAAACAGTAAATGGGTCTGATAAAAGAATATTTACATTGGAAATATTCATCATAACATGAAAAAGGGGACACCTGTAATACTTTCAACAATAAAGATAAATTTAAAAACAATAAAAAAAATAAAAGGTTACAAATCAGAATATACAGCTCTAATAATATAGATGTACAAATGTATACAGACAAAAAAGTGAAAGAATTATGTGATTTTATTTTCTTTGTATTTTTCCATATTTTCAAAATTGTCTAAAATGAATATGCATTACTTCCATAATGAACACAAAACTTAAAAAGATAAAAATCACCAAGAATAGAAATCTAGGAACAGAGGCTGAAACCATATAAAACTAAGTTGGCCTGGACTGTATGGACCTTTTGAGACACACTGATCTGCACAGTAACATCTAATGGTCTGTGTTCTTATAACTGTTGTAAATATACTGTGTGTTCCTTCAAATATATCTTTCACTCTGGTTGTTGCTTAATATACCCCTTTTAGCAATGTCAATCCAAATACTCTGCAGCCTCTTAAACAGATTTTTTTAAAAAACAATTCCTCAGTAAGTGATTTTCACCACTTTACCAAACCACCTTAAACAACAGTTAAATATAAATACATTAGGGAAGGATACTTGAATAGCTAATATTATATCTAACAATTAGATCCTTTCAACAGGCAGACACTGCTTAGCCCAGGAAATCCAAAGATTTAAAAAAAAAAAAAGGTTCTTGCTGTTGAGAAGCTGCCAGTGCAAAACTGACCCTAACAGGGTAGAAAAACCAACTTTTATGTACAAGCAATTTCATATCTAAACCTACAGATTAGTAAGGTGAAACATATTGATTTCTGAAAAACATACCTGAACTATCTTCGTTTTCTTTTACAGGTAGGTGGGACCATCTCAGAATTTCTCTTACCAGCTGATCACACAATCCTTGAGCATCGTTTAAATTATAGTTATACAGGTGGCAGTACAGAAGAGAAAGGTAATAGCGTGTCTGAAGAAAACAAGTCCTCCTTCCTCCTTAAAGAAAAAAGAATTGAACTCGTGAAAAACATCAGCAAGGTCAGTTCTTGGCCTGGGTAACTTACTAGGTAGACATTCTGGGGGTGTTCAGTTTATGAAAATCCATCAAGCTGTATACTCTCATTGTGTGAACTTTTCTGTGTGTTTCATTCTTGACAAAACAACACATGATCTTATTATGATCTAAATCTCATTTTGCCCCCATCAACAAGCAATCACAGGTTCTATAACTAACCAAAAAAAGGACTGAAAAAGCCTTATCTGTAGACAACAAAAATCATTGTTTCTACAAATTCCAAGACTAAGACTAATTTTAAAAAAAACTTATTTTAAATATTTCTGACAGTCAAGGTTCCGACAATATGTGTTTTTCTATTTAAGCATTAAGAAATTATGGGCACTCAAATTTGGAATTATTTTTAAGCTCTAGAGCACGCTAAAATTCATTCCTACCAATATTATAGCAAACATCATTTTTTAATAATCCCCTACCATTCTCTTGGGTTTCTCGTAGAGCTTTTTTCCACACTTGACCAGACTTTTCATATGATCCTAACAGGAAACACTCTTCACCTACAAAGTTTTTTAACCAACAATTAGTTATAGTTAATTGCGTTACTTTGTAAAAATGTACTTTGTTTTATAACTCAGTGGATATAGCTCAGCCAGAAATTTTTAAAAACAAATAACTGTAACCAATTAATAAAATCAAAGCCAAATTAGCTATATTGCTTATTCCTGGGGTGAGAAGTTGTTTATAAGGTACTGACCATTGATAAATTTGAGCTCTAAGGTTTGGTTCAAGTGGACTCCGGCAGCTTGTAAGTTGGCCTGGATGTGACATAACAGGGACTGGACAGTAGATGCTTCATGTGTCATCTTTGCAGTTAACGGTCTGTCACTTTTAGGAGCTCTTCTACTTAACTGTGTCTGATACCATAAAGTTTTTCTATATAGCACTCTCCAGAGAACCGTCAATCTGCACACAAAATTAGACAATCATCAAACCAAATTTCAGATGAGGATCCTAAGAATCAGTACAGCCTCCTGCTCAGCCTTGCGTTCTTCACTGATGTAATAACATACTTACAGCTGATCAGATTTACGTACAGCACAAAGTGCACTGATTTAAAAAAATGCATATCTTTTAAATCTTCATAAATGCTTTATGTACCTGTGGTCATTTTTCTATAGTGTTTACCTAAACCAAAATCTCTCAACAATATCTGGTTACCCAAGACTAATAAAATATGTGTGTGGAGTAACATTTGGCATAAGTCCTAAAATACTTTTAGGTAAAATAAATCTATAATGCTGAGTTTTGATGGATATCCACAAGGGTTCTTTCTGGGGTGATAAAAATATTCTGGAATTAGTGCTAATAGTTCTACGACCTTGTGACTATACTAAAAATCACTGAGCCCAGCCAGGTTTGGCTCAGCGGTTGAGCATCGACCTAGGATCCAGGAGATTGGGGTTCGATTCCCAGTCAGGGCACATGCCAGGGTTGCGGGCTGCAGCTGATCGACGACTCTCTCATAATTGATGTTTCTATCTCTCTCTCCCTTTCCCTCTCCCTTCCTCTCTCTGAAATCAATAAAGATATATAAAAATTAAAAAAAAATAAAAATCACTGAATTGTAAACCTTAAAACAATGAAATTTATAGTATGAGAACTATAGCTCAATTGCTTAAAAAGGAAAAAAATCTATACTGCTGATGGTATCCTAATATTAAAGTAACTATACCTGTGTCCTGGCTGTTGAACAAGATTTACTACTTGAGGACGAATCTTGAAAGATGAGTTCCAAGACCAGTTTTCCCGAGAAGCACTGTCTTGAAATATTTGAAAAATGGGTACCACCAATGAGTCTTGATTTGCTGTTCTACTTCCATCAGTTGATGCTGAGATAACTTCAGGTTGAAGATGATATATGCCATTTAAATTATCAGCTACCATTCTGAGTAAATGGAAACAGGCTACAAGCCTGTCTGAGAATGACTGACCCTGTTGTTGCTGAGTCAGCAGGAGCTGTACAGTGCCTGAGGTCAGCTTTACCAGGTGTCCCAAGTCTTGTCTGTATCTCATGTCCCAGTGCTGGACTGATAAACACTGATGAAAGAGTTGAAAGATACAAAGTACCCATGCATCATGTTTTGGTCTCTTGCTTAAGAAAAGATCAAGTTTTGGGAAAGGACATTTTATAAATTTAAGAATGTAGAAAAAATGAGTAATACAAACTACTGTGTAATTCAACATTACATTTTTTTCTGTCACGTTTTTTGAAACTCCTATGGTCCATGCTGCAAGGAGGTTTCTCTGGACAGAGTGCAGTTCTGTAATGGTTCTGTCTGTCTCCTCAGTAGTATCCTTCGCATGTATTGTATCAAACATAGACGCAAATTCCAATCTTCCCTCCTTGGCACCACTGAACAAAGGATCATTTCTTTGTTTCCAAGAAGAGAATAAGTTGTTTGTAAAGTATGTGCCTTTGCTAGTTTCTTCTGCTTCAAAATCCTAAAACATGAGTGAAAAAAATTATACTTATTACCGTTTTAATACCTTATAAGTAGAATCATGTGGGATTCTCAAATTTCCCTTTAACAAGGTAAAAACAAATACTTCTCTTGGAATAAAGTCAACATGGAACTGTTCAAAGTGACAAGAACACTACCACTCAGTACCTGCAAATCTGCTGCTTTTTCATGTAATTTCATTGTTTCTTCTTCCTGCAAGAATCTGGGGACAGTAGAATCAACTGAACATTCGTTTCCCTGGTGTTTTAACAGGCTCGACCTTAGGGAATCCAGTGATCGCAAGTTCAGCCCTTTGTCTTTTGGCTACAGAAGAAAAGATTTCCAAGAGCAAAATTTTATCCATAATTCTATTCTATTACAAGCAGTTAAAAATTCTATAGACAGTTGCATACAATCCAAGGACATTAATGTCAGTATAGTTTTAAGTCTGCGAAAACAAGAAGTCAGCCTTTACTAATGATACCAAAAAGCACTCTACCTTAGACAAGACCAGGCTTTGGTATATTTTCTCAAGCCGCTGGGAGGAATCGAGCAGAAGGGATCTCATGAGCACTGACGGGGACAAGCCATCAAGAAATCGAAGGGTTGTGACCATGTATCCATCAGAAACTACGAGGTAGGGCAGCCGTGAGTGTGCTTTCACAGAAAACCTCTGTCTCATCGGGTCACTGTCAGACACTGACGAATCTACAGAGTTGTTTGAATCTTGAAATGTAAACTGCGGTGGTCTAGCAAACAAACATCAACATTCAGGAATTAGGAAGAGAAAAATCCTACACAAAACAGCCATATTATTCCAAAGGAAGAGCAAAACAATGAAAAGCTGCCGAATGATGAAAAGGCGAGCAAGTTAAACACAGAAATGTTAAGTGTGTAATATCTGTAAGAAAAACATAAGTGATTACATGTTTTTTTTTTAATTTTCCCTGAATTGTAGTATTTACTCTATGTTGTTTCTAATCTAGCCTATAGAAACTATTTCAGAAAAGAATTGGCACGGTTCATTTATACTATTGAAGTGAGTTAAATATTTAACTTTCCTTCTTACCATGCACTTGAATATACTTGTAAGACTATAACTATGAGCTATGCATATATGTGTTATTGAGGAGAAAAAAAGAAACTGAGAAGAATATTTAGAGAGAATGGTGACCAGTAAGTTTTATCAGTTGAATTTCCACTTAACTGTACTTATTTACTGTTGAGGTGATGTACTTGATTACGATTACTTAATACTGTTGCTTATGAACTTCAGGGCTTTATAAATATACAGAGGAAAATAAAAATACATTATGATTTTAGGGGGTCAGGAGAGTATTCAACTATAGAGTGTTATTGGCCAAATGGTCAACAATAAAAGATCTGTTAATTACAGAATGTACATCACATCACAAATCTATAGAACCATTAAAAATGACTTCATGGAAATATGTATAAGATATACTGTTAAACCAAAAAAGCAAAACAGAAAACAGCATATATCATTTATTTTGTTTTTAAGAAGGAATGAATATTATTATAAGTTATATAACTTTTAATTTGGAGGATAACACACTAATAAAATGTTAATTGTTATCTCTGAGAAACAGGAGTACAAGAGTCTTTGGCTTTCTACATTATTTAGTTTTGTAACATTTGATTTTTAAGTTTTTAAAAAATAATGAATATATATTACTTTTGTAATAAAAAAGCAATACATTTTGTCCGGCCGGCCGTGGCTCAGTGGATAAGCGTCAACCTAGGATCCAGGTGATCGGGGTTCGATTCCCGGTCAGGGCACATGCCCGGTTGCGGGCTTGATCAATGACTCTCTCCTCGTTGATATTTCTATCTCTTTCTCCCTCTCCTTTCCTCTCTCTGAAATCAATATATATTTAAAAAAAAAAAAAGCAATACATTTTGAAAGGCCCCAAATATTAATTTTAGAGAAGAATGTGAGGAAATTAAAATCAGTTATGAAGCAGACCATAAGAAATAAGAAAAATACTCTCACTGAAGGAAATGACAACTTTTTCCATTAGAATTTCTACTGCTAAAAATTAAGCACCAGTTTTTGCTAAATATAATCAAAGATACACTCCTCTGTAAAGCAAGGGGAGTGAATTTATTTCAAAGGCCTTTTCTAGGTTTTTTGCTATCCTCCTTCATTTCCTCAACCAATTATTATCATTTCACAACAAAAGAAATAGAGGCTCAAAGAATAACTTAACCAAAGTCACAACAAGTAGAACCAAGATTTGAATTTTGATCTGACTGCAAAGCCAACTGCTACCCCATCTCACAATGAAAAATTTAAATGTGGCTAACTTCTAAAGTGTTCTATCCATTTCCAACAATTGTTTCCAATTGGGAAAAAAGTAGATATATCCATGTGCCAAGTTATATTGAGTTATTAATTTATCTAAGTGCTCTCCTTTTAAAATAAAGGACACACTTTTCTTAACTTTTATATCAAAGAAAATAAGATGTTTAGTGCTACTGAATATTTAAATAACTTATACTTACATAGTCACAGTGTCAAATTTTCACCAGGATTAAGCCACAAAAAGAAATAGAAAAAAAAAACTATAAATAAGAAACAGATACTGAGATGACACACTCAAAGAAAAAATTAAGACAATTTGAAAGATAAAATTATAAAAACAAAACAAAAACACAGTAAAGTAATACCAATAGAGAAAAACTTCGGTAAATAAATTAAAACAATTCAAATGTCTCACCTGTATGTTATGAGAGGGTGAAGAGGAATGAATTCTGCTGGCCCAAATTCTATAGAGCAGCCACGTGTAATTAATGTTAGCAATTCACCCTGGCAAGTCAGTAAGACCAGGGAGCCACGTTTTAACACACAAGCCAGAAAAAGACTGTCATGAGTCCAGCTGATGTCACCTACCCAGTAGGATCTAGAAAGAACAAGACAGTATGTTTAGAAAGGATTCTAGACAGTGTCTTTGACAATTCATAATGGTCAAACAGGGGTGAAACACTTCAAAAAACAAGGGCAAAAGAATGGAAAGTAGATAACTGCCACATACAGTTTCCCAGAGAAAAAGAGTTGACTCAAACATCTAATCCATACAACATACCAAATAGGAATTTAGATTCATAAGCAAATCATAAAATAAAAATACTCCCTATAAGAGTTAAGCTTTTTAAATCACTCACATTTTAATCAGAATAATTTTTAATCCTGTTGGGGTCCACAACCAAGATCTCCTGATAGATTTAAAGGTCAACACCATCCTGTGCTGTCTGCATCCTGCTGGAGCTCCTTCCACCCAGCCGCAGACTCCCTCTTCACAAAGCCATTTTTACTACTCCTTAACTGTCTGATAATCTTGTTTCATGGAGACAAAAGGTAGTTCCCCCTCATGTAAATTACAGACACCCTAAGCCAAAAAGACTGAACTGAGAGCAGTAATACTTTCAAAAGGGAACTTCTAGGGGGGGAAGAAAATGAAGAGGCAAGGCTGGATTGGCCTAAAACTTTGAAAATTCAGAGAATAGCACAGAAGTGTTCATAAAGGGAAATTAGGAGGTGCAAGAAGTCTTCCTAGTCTGTAATCCTACCTAGGTCCTAGTGGTAGCTCACATGCCATCCAAAATTGCCACTTATGTTGCTAATGACCCATGTGCAAAGAATGCCAACTTTGTTTAAAAGGCTACAAAACCTCAGCCTCTGTGTACATGATGGTCTTCCAACCAGATTTTTCCAGTTCAGCCTCTCCAGTTAAGCCCAGTATATTTCTATGCAGTCATGATTCCAGTCCTCCTCGGACCACGTAGAAAGAGAGAAAGGAGAGAAAAAATATGCTCATGTATTTTCTACCCAACCAGACCCTTCCTTAAAGTCTTACGGCTTTCCTTATATAAAGCAATTTCAGAATCTGTCAAACACAAATGCTGAAAGTAGCACTACCTACCTATCTAAATACCTACTTAGACACCCACTGAAGTTATCAGAGACTTAAACTTATCAAACTCTTGGAAAAGAAAACAAAAACACTGTTTAGAAATACAAGCGTTCTTACCTGACAAGTGTGGCTGGAACCACAGGATTCTTATTGCTACATCCTTTTAGGCTACCACAGAGAGTAACAAAATTCAGTGTGTTTATAAATAGTACCTGAGTTGCCTAGAAAGAATAAAAAAAGATGACAAACCATTCAAATTATTTTACTTTAATCATTACTTATAATTCTGGAAACCCAGAGATCTATTACTGTTTCAGTAAACTATCTAGGGTCCTTTCCCAACTGGCAAAACAATACTTACCACCTATTTCTCTCTCCTCTCTCATTCTATGTTTTAAGAACATCAGTTACCATGCTGCCCTTCTTTCTTCCTTTTCCCTTAACCGCTTTTTGCCTCTGAAGGTCAAATTTTGAAAACTATGGCTGCTAATTTAAATAACTTTACTAATCCACAATGTTAAGTTGGATCAGAAAACACCAATTTAAAGAACATAAAGAACTATCTTGGGGGGGCATTTCAAAACTGGATTAAACTCTTTTATAGATTACTTCCAAGACAGTTTCTGTTTACTGACCTTTGGGTCTTTCTGATTAAGAGTTACTGCCAGGGTCAGGCCATCTCTTGAAAAGGCAGCAATTAGAGCTCCTCTTGACTTCACTGATTCACACGAGGGGATCAGACTGGACAGAAGGCAATCTTGCTGTGCCCAGTGGACACCATATGGTAATGATCTAAGAAGTAATGAAATAACTGAAAACAGGAAGTACAGTAAATTTCAAATTAACATGTAGTTCATTACAAAAAATTACAGGGTCCAACTAAGTTCCTACATGTGCACATATATCAGGGGACCTCTTAGCAACCGTTTGGCAATTTTGTCCAGGTAACAGAAGAGTGGTCACCAGTTAAAAAAGCTCAACATCAGAGTTCTGTTAGTAATAGCATGTCCCATAGCCAACCCCAAATACATCTGCTTCCACTAGCAGTTTAGTTACACACATTTCTATACTACTGCTAACATTTTTAAAGGGATTAAGTAGGTAGAGAAGGTGTTTTCCGGATAGTGTTCTATATTTGATATGAGGATGGCTACATACATGTATATTCATTAAAGTCCAGGTGCACACTTGAGATTTATTCATTTTACTTTATATAAATCACACCTTAATAAGGTACCGTTAGCATAAAAAATAAAGAGAATAAACAAAGAAAAACAAGCAAAAAAAATCACACTATTTTAGTAAAGCTTATTTAGGCAGTAAATGTTTTTAATGCATTCTTTCTATTTTATTGGGCTTTTGAGAATAAAACTATTTTCAAATAAAAAAATTCTCAAACATTTAAAAGGTACACTAAATTCAAGTAAGTTATGTCCCTTTTAAATCCAATTAAATTACTTTCCAAAATATTTTTTTATAGTCTTGAAACAAGTCAAACCACCATATTCTGCCTTATTTTTTGAATGTTTTCACTTCAAGGAAAGGAAACAAAAGCAAAAAAACTTTCTAGTTAAACATTTAAAAATGAAAACTAAAGAAGCAAAGCAATACTTAGGGGAAGAAAGGATTTGTAAGGTCTTAGAAGCTGCAGGTCACAATTTGTTTACTAATCTTGTTATGCATTTATAATGCAAAGATGATTTTTTTTAAATTTTTAATGATTGATTTTATTGATTTTTTAGACAGAGAGAGAGAAACACTGATTTGTTGCTCCACCCATTCATGCGTGCACTAGTTGATTCTCACACGTGCCCTGACTGGGGATTGAACCTGCAACCTTGGTGCATCAGGATGACGCTCTAACCAGCTGAGCCACCCAGCCAGGGCAAGATGATCATGTTTTAAAAGGGAGAGACAATAAGAAAGAAGGAAACATTTACCTCACCTCATAGGTGTAAACACATTCTCATGCCACTGAATTGCTAGAAATGTCAACCTCAGACATTCCCCAGAATAAAACGTAAATGAACACAAGCAGCAGTCTCCAAATAACTGTAGATAAATTTAATACATGTTAGTATATCATTAATCTAAAGCAAATCAAGATATATAAAACATACATATATTCTCATCATAAATAAACGAAACATCAAGATCCTGCTTGTATTTTCATTCTTAACATTAAGTTAAAGACTAAGTGATTTACATGTGAGCCAGAGGCATATCCCAAATGGGAAATCACAATGCTCCAAAAAAACCACTGCCATTTACTGGGGCTATAACTAAAAAGATTCTTACATAGTAATGCTTCTCTTCTTTTACAATTAGTGGGCTGCCCCTGGAGGTGGGGTGAGGGAGAGGAAAACAATAAAACTTCAACACACAACTTGTAACCATAGTGGGTTGGGTATAAAATGTTGGTCCATACAAACAAAGAGCACTATGCTGCTATGTGAATTGTCTTTTAGTTCATGGAGGTATTACTTCCCTGGGAATTAAATGGCTTATTTAATATCACCAATTTTAGATTTTAAACTACAAAACTAGTTCTATTTTAAAACTAGGGAAAAGTAAAACTAGGGAAAGAGAAAGGAAGCTCTAATTTCAAACCATTTTTAATAAACATTTCTTAAAATGTGACCGAGATATAATAAAAATATTTTTTCCATAATAATTTCACAATTACTGTGACAATGATGACTAGAGATCTATAGCTATGCCACTGCCCACTCTGCTCATAGCTGCAGACAGTGTCTGTTCTCAGAGTCCAAGATCTCAACTTTTGGAACACCTTGTCTGATTGGGATTTTACCTCATTTTTTATGAACACAGCGTGTACTACAGCTTCTTTCTCTTCAGTGGAAGGCAAATGAACTGCTTCTTCAGGTGTGATCTGGGACCACCGGCCCATCAATGAAGGGGTTTTAGAAGAAAAGATATTCTTGAACTCCAAATACTCCCAAAGAAATATGCATCCAGAAGGAGTTAAAATCAGAATTCTTTTTCCATCTCCAGATACATACAAATAGAGTCTCAAAGAGCTTGCTAAAAAAAAAAGTAAAGAAAATAATTAAACCTTGAAGTCTGAATTCCCTTCAGAGGCTACATAATTTATCTATTCTGACGAAGAAACCTGAATGATGGAAAACTAAGGCAGTAGTAATAAATTAAAAGTACAAATAATAGTAACATTTATCATGTATTTATGTGATATTAGAAACCCACCATTATCAGATGTTAGGCATACCAGACTCCTCCAAGATGAATCTAAGTATCACAAATAAACACCACCAAAAAAATACATACATATTTAAGGAAATATATATGTATACACACATAGGTTTTTTAAATAGTAATAGGAAAATGTTTCCTCCTCCTTCCCTGTTTATCAAGTTCAGCCAATTTAAACAAATTCTCACCTACTGCAGCTCTAATCATCTCCTTAGGCTTTTCAGTTGCTTGGATAGTTTTCAAACAATCTTGATCTTTGTTCCAAAGGAAAAGCTCCCCCGTAGTAAGTACCCCAGCCAGCCAGGCATCTGTTCCCAAAAAGGAAATGCAATGCTTACAATCTAATATTTCCCTTAATACTGTCCCACATTTTTAAAAATTGCAGTTAACCTAGTCTTTTGAATATATCAGCACTACTTAACCATTACTGGACGTTGCTAGGACAATAACATCCTTCAAGAACGGCTGCAGACGAGGAATTTTCTTCTTCGTCCTTCCCGATAGCAAATTAATTTCATTTATAAGTTTATAATCCAAAAGAAAAACAGCTTCATTTTCCTTAAGAGAAGAAAAATGTGAGACTTAAGAGGTGCAGAAGTTCACTCAAACTCTTATCCAAATTATCCCAGAAAAGAACACAAAGTGACATTTAAGGAAGATTATACATTTGTACCACAAATCATAAAATGAACAATAAGGTTGATTAGGTAACCTGAAGGATTTTTCATTCTATCTTAAAATACCTCATTTAAAATTACTTGGTAAAATGACCTAATGATTGCAATTTAGATTTCTTTAAAATTTAAAATTACAGTAGTGTCTTTCAATTCTGCTAGCCAAAACCGGGTTATCAATTTGAACACTAGTACGTGCAAGTTTTAAAATTGTTTCTTTAGATTAAAATAGATACGGCTTCTGCAGCCCCGACTCTGATAATTTTTATTACCTAGAAAAAGTACACTGTTTTGAATGAACTTTGTCTCCATGTATTCTAGGGCAGTGGTTTTCAAAGTACCATCTAACCAGCAGCATCAACAACACCTGAGACCCTGTTAGAAATGCATATTCTTCTACTGGAGACCCACTGAATCAGAAACTCTGTGAAAGGGCCCAGCACTTGTTTTCACAAGCTCTCCAGATGATACTGAGCCAACACAAAGTTCAAGAGACACTGTTCTAGAGAAGGTAAGTTGACAATTTCTCACAGGAAATGAGAACACCAAATTTCTCAATAATCATAATAAATTTTAAGAGGATTTTCTAGGTTTTCCCACTTTCCCTGAGGTGAGGACTCTATTCCAGCCATTGTGAAAGTGTTCCTGGATGGTTAGTGTATTGTGACCTATCTGTACTCCGGGTCATTGCACACTCATGAAAACCACACTGGGAAGAAGCACTCCACTGATTGTTCCAGTAGGAAAAGTTTCAGAAGATTAAATAGTGCCTTCTGATATATGCCATCTCCACCTTCTTAAACATAATATGAAAAAACAATTTTTTTGAAAGTAAAATATTTCTTCTTGATAGACTATTAACTTTCTGGAAAAGCTAACTTGCTCACGATAATAAAAACAAAACACAGACACAAAACCCTGTTCAGTGGGCAGGTGATCCTTCTAAAGATGGATTTAATTTTTAAATGCCATAAAACATTCTTCAATTTTAGAGGAAAAGCATACATTTAATACATATTACATCTGGTATTGTATGAATAAAGCTCTACCTGTCCCAACCAGGAGACTCGTGGCCAGGGTCTCTTCTGCTTGATACTTGTTGATGTCAAAACTTCTAATCTTATCTCCATGCTTGTTGAGACAGCAATGCCCAATTAAGTAAAAACAGTCACAAGACGCTGTGAAAAGCAAAAATAATGATAATAAGTAGCCCATAATATTTACTGAGGGTCTTAGTTTAGAATTTTCATAAAGATTTGGAGTTTTACTTTTTTATCAGCTCAATTATCTTTTTAAGGTAAGGTACTGACAATGCATTCAGTCTCTCATCTTATATCTTGAACAGTCAGGCAAATTGTATTTGCTGTTTGACAAGTTCTTTCTCAGGCGATGAAGGTAAACAAGAACTAGGAAACGATCTTGAAAAACAGTTTCTACGTGACTGGCCTTTCTCAGTGTGGCAGGCTGTGTTTTCAAAGTTGGCCACACGGAAGCTCCCGTCCCACATGTTCTTCTGATACTGTGACTGTGATACTTCCTTCATAGACCCCCTCTCAAGTCTATGCCTTACCCCTTGAAACTGGACTAGATCTTGACTATTTTAACCAAGAATAAAATGGATTTGATGTTGTGCATTTCCCAAGGCTAGATCACAAAAGGCAATACAGCTTCTACCTCACTCCCAGGAATAATCACTCTTGAAGCCTTTAGTTACCACTTCAGCAGTCACCACTTGAGCTGTAAGAAAGTCCAAAGTAGCCCATGTAAAAATGAAGCCCTGAGAGAAAGGGGAGTGAAGATGCCTGGCCAGTCCCCATGCTCAGTGTGGGGAGAGCCACAGGAGGCCAAGGACAGTCCATGAGAGCCCAAGCAGGGGGTAGAGAGCATAATCCCGGGTGCATGGTCCATTCTTGGGAGAATCCTGGGAGGATGTTCACACTGTGGGACATCCTGGTGCAGAGTGTTGGAGCTTAAGCTGAGTGAGGACACAGAAGCCATACTGAAAGGGATCCCACTGACCCAACTGAGGACAATTTTAGCATCAAAACAGATTATAGTAATGGAATTAAAATCCATGAAACAAAATAGGAAACTGTGACTCCCTATAATTTTTAAAAAGTAAATAAATTGAACATTTGATGAAAAATGGCATATTTACATTGTTTCAAAGTATCTTCCTACAAAATACTCATTAATTACAAAGGAGAAAATGAAAATCATGTGCCACTTAATAGTCAAATGAGAAAAATCTGACACTCTGAGCGTCAAAATAAGTAAGATAAGCAATAGGTTACAATCTATTAAATAAAGTAAGAACACATGAGAACACAGCTGTATGGTGGCAGATGTGAAAAATCGCCACGCTGCAACCATCACAGTAAAACTGACTCAGGAAAGCATCATCAATAGATGCTAAAGCAGGCAGAAAGCAGGCAGAGGGAGAGGATGAGAAACAGGGTATTAACATAATCTAGAGGTATCGCCCCATAAATTACTTAATTTGCAAAAAAAAAAAAAATACTAGTGATAGTGGAGGAAATAACACCTTAACCTATAAGATGCAGACAATATGCTCATCTGGTTGCATATAACTTGAAGACTTAATGTTATTTATATATCATTCCAACCCCAAAATGCAAACCTGTCTTATTTATAAGGAAACTATTCCACATAGAAGAAAATGATATAAAATAATGAGTCTATACTATTCCTTAAAAATGTCCATACCACGAGAAACAAAGTTTTAAGAGCTCTTCCAAGCTAAAGAAGATTAATGAGGAGCATCTGAGATCTTGCTCTCCGGCATATGTTGTCAGTTTGGCTCAAATAACTCTCGTAAAAATTCTCAAAAAATAAAAGATTAATGATCTAAGACAAGTGAGTGCAGTACGATATCCTGAACTATATCCTTACCAGAAAATTGGCTATAAAGGATATTATTGTGACAGTTGACATAAACGGAAAATGAACTATATAGCATAGATAAAAGTAATGTGTCAATGCTAAATTTCCTGAACTTGGTAACTGTACTTGTTTATGTAAAAGAGTATCACTGCTCTTCAGAAATGTATATGGTACTAAGTATTAAGGTGTAAGGGGTATGATGTATGCAACCCACCCTCAAAGATAAAGCTCAGCAAAATATAAACAAGTGGTTAATAGAAAAAAAATTAAGTATATTTAAATGTGTGTGTGTGTGTATACACAACTATATATACAAGCAAGTGGTCAACCTTGGTAACGGTATAGGAGTTCTTTATATTTTTCTTGCACCTTTTCGGTAAACTTGAAATTATTTTGAATTCAAAAAAGACAACAGGAAAATAAAACAAGACTGGGTATTTGATGACGTAAAGGAATTAATGTTATTTTTGGTGGTAGGTGGTAATTCTACTATGGCTTTTATTTTATTTTAAACCAGGAAATTCTGACAGTGCTTATTCAGATTTCACCAATTTTTTTAATCCTTACCCAAGGACATGCTGAGAGAGAGAAGAGCGAAAGAAACGTCCTTCGGCTGCTTTCCCTCCGTGCCCCGAGCGGGGACAGAACCGGTGCACAGGGCAACGCTCAGCCAACTGAGCCACTCGGGTTGGGCTGGAGTTTTGCTGTGTTTAAAAAAATATATATTATTTTTATTTTTTAGAGAGGAAGGGAGAGAGAAGGAGATGTCGTGAGATGCGAGAGCCCAGCATCTAACTGCCGCCTCCCACTGGGGATGGAGCCCGCGGCCAGGGCTCGAGCCCCACCGGGCGGGACCCGCGGCCTTTCGGCGCAGATGCCCGGCCAGGGCCGCTCCGGCCGCCTGCAGGTCTGGTTTTAAGGGTCCTCACCTCCCCTAGATGTGGGATGCAGTATATACTAAGTATTTATACCAGGGACTTAGCTTTAAAATACTCCAGGTGTGTACTCTGAGGTCAGCTTTGCATCTAAAATGTTACGCGGTTCGGGGCGTGAGGGGCGCCCCGCGGAGCCGCCGCAGCCGCGCTCAAAGCAGCAGCGCTCCCGACGGGAGACGGCACCAAACGCGCGCGATCGGCGGATGAAGGAGAAGAGTTGGCTCCGTGACACTCACTAGACACGTGAGCTGGGGTGGAGTAAGTCGGCCCGAAACGGTACCTTCATTTAAAACACCGGGGCCAACGCCACTTAAAGACAGTTTCCAAGTTCTGCGGTTCCCACCACGCAGGAGTCTGAGAAACCGCGGGCCGTCCTCCATGTTCAACCAACCACCCACCAACGAAGGTGAAAGCGCGAGTCACGCAGGGGTCCCTGCGGGGTTTCTCCCGACCCTGCGGCGGGGACCGGGCTGGGCGAGGTGCCACGGCGGCGGCGCCCG